TTTTATTTTATTTATTTATTCAGTTTTCTAGTCGGAGTTCACATGCAATTTTGTTTTTGTTTGCTGTACAGGAAATAATGGAACTATTGATGGACAGGGTTCTGTTTGGTGGGAGAAACTGAGTGCTCATTCACTAAATTACAGTAGACCACATCTGGTCGAACTGGTTTGGTCGGTTAACATTGTTATATCAAATTTAACATTCTTAAACGCACCTGCTTCCAATATACACCCAGTTTATTGCAGGTATAATCCTATCGTAATTGAATTACATTCTATGTAGCAATATATATTAAATTGTAACACATTTTGGTTCCTTTTCTCGATGCAGTAAATTGCTAGTACAGAATATAACAATTTATTCCCCGCCCGAGTCTCCATACACCAGCGGCATTGTACCAGGTTTGGGAAATTGTTTGTAATTTTTCTATGCATACAATGATTACTCGTTATTCTCAATTCTTTTCTCATTTACTAACATAAATTGGACTCACATTTTCAAGTGAATTCTTTCATACACCGATGACCAATTTTAATTTTAATTTTAATTTTTTTCCTTTTAATTTCAGATTCTTCTGAGCATGTTTGTATCGAAAACAGCAATATTAGCATGGGATACGATGCCGTGGTACTAAAAAGTGGTTGGGACGAATACGGTATTTCTTACAACAAATCAACCTCCCATGTTCACATTCGAAAAGTTCACTTGCAATCTTCTTCAGGTCTCTCTCTCTCTCTCTCTCTCTCTCTCTCTCTCTCTCTCTCTCTCTACATATATATGTATGTATCTGTTCTCTTTTAAAAGGGGATAGTTACTAATTCCTCAATTCATATATGTATATTCTTCAGGTTCGGCAATAGCCTTCGGTAGCGAAATGTCAGGTGGAATCTCCACAATTTTAGCCGAAAATATCTACATTCACGATTCCTTAACAGGGATTGAGCTAAAGACAGCAAAAGGACGAGGCGGTTACCTTAGAAACATCCTAGTATCTCAAGTCTACATGGAAAACGTACAACAAGGAATCAATGTAACCGGCCAATCCACTTCTCACCCAGACGACAAATTCGACCCCCAAGCACTTCCGATTGTCAGTGACATTTCGTTTCACGATATTATCGGTTTAAATATCACAACTGCTGGAATATTCTCTGGGATCGAGGAATCTCCGTTCACCTCGTTTTGTCTCTCGAATGTTTCCTTCTCCGTCACTTCAGACCCGTCAAATTCTTGGGTATGCAGTGATGTTGTGGGCTCGTCTGTGAATGTGTCACCCGAGCCTTGTCCTGAACTGCAAAGTTCGTCTTCTAGTGATTCCTCTGATTGTTCCGTATTATCATTACATGCGAATAACCGAGTTGCTGTTTTGTGATGATTATATATACTCAACTGTCTTAAAAAGCTCTCGACTATTCATTCATTGGTCCGTACGGTGAGATTCTGGTGTGTATAAAGCTTCCGATAATATACGCAAGATGAGGTGAGAAAAAAATGGGAACTCTGGGGGGCAAATTCGTCCGAAAAGGGGTGTTGTTGGTCGTATTTCGATTATGTGTACAGTGTCTTCGTTTGTGTGTAAGAAAAGTTTTGGTAGTGCAGGACTCTCAGATGGTTGTTGTCTTTTCCATTCATCTTCTTGTTATATTTTTTACTGTAATTTTTATTCACATTGTACATTCTTGAAACTGGGAGATTTGCGAGGTTGATTGATTTATAGGAGGTGGTTAAAGGGTGTCATTATTATATAGTTGGAATGTGCAATAAAAAGTTACATTTTTTCATATTTTATTCAATTGCAGATTTTCCTTCTCCAGCTTATATTCTGTGTTAATATTTAGGGTAAATTACTGCTATCTCATGAGGTAAGGTTAAATTACGAAAGCCCCCTCTTGTTTAAATAATTATAATTACCCCTCAACTATGTATTGTTTTGCAAAAAGCCCCTTCTTTTAGTAGTTAAACTTGATGCCGCAATAAACTTGTAATTACCCAACTATGAATCGTTTTTTCATAATTTTACCTTAGTGCAGGGGATGGCCATAATTTGCCCTACATTTTAAGCCACGACCATCTGCGTGCGCTTTGTTAGCAAACAAAAACTTCTGGAATGTTCCCAACCACCAAAAATAAATAAATAAATATTAAACTTGTAACTTTATGGGAATATTTCCAAAAAAGAAAAAGAAAAGGAGCCCATCAGTATAATAATACAACCAGCTAATTTACAATTATCATTTAAGAGGTAAATGCCCAAAAAGAAAATGACCTGAATGTAATGTATGTCTTCATAGTACACAAAGAAACAGGGGAATGAAGAAGTGGAGACAAAAAGAATATGAGCATATATTACGGTTCCCCAACTTTTGTCTGTTTAATGTTTGTTTGCCAACTCCTCGAATTTATTAGTGCGATATCGACTGGGAAGCAAGTTGAACCCAAGCAAATTCCTCTTTGTAACCCACACTTGCTTCACACGATGACTCGCATGTATACACAACAATAGTTGCCCAATCAAGAGAATCTTCACCATCTTCCACATGGAAGAAATAAAGCAACTGTGGCAATACCTGAAATCGCATTTCCCAATTAATACCATTAATTCTCAAAAAAATGAATTATTTTTCGTCTATCTAATGGTAAAAATAATTTAACAAGAATCGCAATAATATGCATTTATTTTTTATCAATCTTGCGCACTGTTAAATTTCAGAAGATAGATGTATACTAAATAAAGATTGTACCTGAAATTCAAAACCACGAGTGCCACCACAATAGTTGCACTTGGGAATGTCGACTGTTGATGGGCGACCACTAGCCATGGGCCATATTGGTTTTGCTTGTGCAGAGCTAGAATACCTGTCACAAATAAATAAATACGAGATAAAAACAGAAAATGAAGCATCTACAATAATATAGCTGAACAACAGAAAAGCAAATGCCAGGGAAAAAAAAGTAGAAGTATATTCCTTAGTGAAATGCGAGTGCTCACCTCAAAACTTGGTCAGGAGCCAGAGATATTCTTTCATGAAAAGATGCCCAACTCCTGCTTTCACCAGACCCCTATTAACAATTTAAAAAAACAAAATATTATCGGTCATTAAGCAGACAATCCAGAATTATGAGATTGCAAGATAAGAAAAAATCACCTTGAAATATGTCTGCAGCTTTCCAAAATATTCATCTTTTCGGCTTCTAGAAACCAATGCACTAGCAGATCCATTATTATCAGGAATCTCATCAAGTTCAAACTCATCTTCATTCACAATCTCATACTCTGGCCAGAGAGATTTGCTCGCAGCTGTTTGCCAAAAAATCAAATAAAAAATCCAATCCATGATATAGAATATTTTCTTATTTTTAATGGACATGGAATAATAGATCACTACATACGGTAGCCACACATTGACATCATTTCAACTCTGTGAAAAACTGTTACCTGATTCGATTTCTTTGCCAGATGTCTCCAACTGTCGGCATAAGACTTTGTGACTAGCGTTACTGGATCGCCAATGAGCAGTCTGAAAATCATTATACACTACACTCATGACATGAAAGTTCAAGAAAACTATGCCTCGTGCATAAAACTTAAAAGGGAGTTGAAATTCAACAAAGTACCTGGTGCTTTCCAGAACAATAACGTGCTATTCGACAGCTACTGCAAATTTTGTCCCCTTTCCATGTACCACACCAATTACAAAGTATTGCTGCAACAATTTACAGAACATTAGGTGAGGAAATAAGAATGTACCAAAACTAGCTTAAAATAACGTATCATTTTTTCCCCTTTTCGAGCATTTGATCATGAAATTCCCATCGAAAAAATATTATATGTTAACAATGATACAAGGTGAGACAGACTAGACACTGCATACATTTGCATAGCATAAAATTTCCAATAAATCACCCTATCATTTTAAATCACCTACTATAGAGAAGTTACCTCCTGCAGTCAAGGGTTGCTCAGTACCATCTTCAGCTGGTGCCTCACTGGCGTAAAAGGGATTCACCCGTGGCAATTGACACCGGAAAACCTTGACACTATAGTACAATTTTTATTTTATGATATCAGAAACAAAAAGATAGGACTCTAATATGTCATCATTTAGCAAAAATCAACAAGGAGAATTTTGAGGGCCATGATATACCTTCTAGATGGAGTCTCTGGATGCTTCTTCCACTGGTCATGTTGATCGCGAAGAAGACATGCCATTGAAGGGCACATGAAAATGAACAATGATCGGTGAAAAGTCGAATTCTCAGGTAAAGGTGCATAAACCTACATAAAAACAATCAACAGCACAACATTAAGATATAGATAGTGCATTTTATTTCAGTATCCCAAAATATTTTTCTTCTGCACTACACCTGGAGAAGAAACTGCAAAGGCTCACCGCAAAAATCACAAAGACTGGACTTCTCTGAAGGTAAATTTACTGGGTCCAACCATGCCTATATCAGAAAAATAAATCAAAATTACCTCAACTGATGTTCTACAAGAAGTCCATAATCATTAATTCAGTAGCATAAACAATACGAGAAAACAAATGCAAGCACATACATAAATATTGCTTCAAAAAAATCCATTACAATAGACAGATTGAAATAAACTTAGAAGTGAAAAAAACTCAATCATGAAATTTCCGGTGAAAGTTCGTAGAATGATTACCGGCATGCCACCAGCTTTGCTGGGGAAATATTGGGGGAGCAGTGACCATGGATATTTCGGCTTCTCCGCAAACCCTAAAGTCATTGGCACTCGATCTTCTTCGTCGTCATCTTCATCGGTGAGTTCGTCTTCCACGTCGTCGTCTTCATCCTCCTCTTCATCGAGGGATGATATATGCAGAGACCTGAGCTTATTTTCGTTCTCATCAATGTCCATGGCTCTTGAATTTCGGATAATTCAGTACAGGAGTTACTGTGAGAGAATCGGCGATTGTCTTTTCACCGGCGATAACTCGACGGTATTAGGGTTTTGGGTTTTTGCTCAATTTGCAGGTTCACTAATTTGGAGTATTGGGCTCACTTATGTCTTTGCCCAAACTCTAATAGAATTCTAGAAAATAAGGCCCATTATCGTCTTATATCTATAAATAACAATTATTGTGTTTGTTTTCACTATTTTTATTATTTAAAAAAAAAAAAAAAGGAGGGTAATTATGTCAAACCAAATTCCAAAACGCATATCCGTTGGGTTACATGCTCTTCTTTGCCCGTTACATTTCAAAACTCAACTTTCAATTTTTCGTTTTCAAATAACGAATGAGAAGGAAACGAAAAGGCGCAAGAAAAAAGCCACCTTAATCAGTTTATAACTCCCGGAAAATCTTTAAGGAAATTAAACATGAAGCCAATTTCAAGCGTTTCAACTTTCATGTCTTTCTCTATTGCAATACTTAAGATGTGGTAAGCCAATTAACCACAAAAACAACAAAAATTAAATAAATGAGGTTGTGGAATTCTTTTGTGAATTTATGCTTTACAAGACACTGCCAAAGAATCAATCAAAATAAAAAAATAAAATAAAAAAAAGGCTGGAACACTTTCTAAAAAATCCAGCAATCAAATACACGTGACCTATTTTCACAACAAATAGTAAAATTTCTCATTGACCACACAACACAGAGTGCTAGCAACTGGAATAATTGCTTTTAGAGCCTTATATATATATGAGGGAAATATTAAAAAAAAAAAAAAAAAAAACTCTATACTTGTATTGAATCTTCACTTTCTGGACGCCACCGTTTTACGTTTTACTTCACCAGCCTGCCTTCCGATCCGCTGTGCAGTAACTCCTTTTCGTAGCGGTGAAGGTCCCAATTTCGGAATCATAGTTCTGATGCACATTGGCAAAATGAAATAATAAAAAAAATTATCATATTATAAACCATATATATATATATTTGCTAGGAGTTTTATTTAGTGCACATATAAGGCAAGATCATAAAATTTACCTGAGTTCTGGACTTTTGGTTTGTTTCGCATGAATCTTTTCGACATTTGGACCAATCCCATTACTGAAACCCCCAAGTTTTAAATGGTTAAACTGCCAAAGCAAATCTTGCTCAGACGAATCGCTAGTTCCAGCATCAAGCTCGTCCAAGTCATCGGTAGTATTATTAACATCAAACTGACTATTTGCATGAAATAATAATCCATATGGATTTTCAGGATCCGATAAATATTTTTGAGTGAAGGGGTTTTGATCAACTCCAATAGGGTCTTGCTTGTTTACCATGAGCTTGTCTACCCACTCACCGGGTCCCACTTCCCTATCTTCATCTCCAATACTTTGGCTGAAAAGCGGCCACGTAGGCGAATTTCCGAGTAGCTCGTCTAAATCCAGATTTGGCCTCTTTTGCACCATCAATGCATTATTGGCCCGAAGCTGTAAACGAGTTTAACGGTTTTACTTTCTTCGGAAAATGCATTTAACAATTGTTCGTTCAAGTAAAATATCTTAGGAGTTACAATCACAAATCAAAATGAGAAAAAACTGCATGGAGCTTATTTTACCTCTATATTGCCTACATCTTCCATTGGCTTTCTTAGGCCGTTTGGTGATGGCTGTAAACTACAAGGACTGCCCGATAGCTTCGGCTTTCTGGACAATGGTTCTTCGTCCCTTTTTGCTAAGGCAGCCTTAAGACTGGCAATCTGCACAGTAATATATCAATTGAGCTAAACGAGCAATAATCCAACAACATGAGAAAGTTATATATATTTTTATAAATATGTAAAGACCTGTTCTTTGAGCTCTTTAACATCTGAAGAATCCTTATTTACTCGTGCAGCACCAAGTTCAACAGTAGCGACACGCTCGGCAAACTTAAGTGTGCTAATTGTCTCTCCAATGGCATCAGGCTCAGGGCTTATGTGAACAAACATCAATGTCTTTGCTTGCCCTCCTATATATAGATAGAACCAAATAATTTAATTCACAAAAAAATTAAAGGAGCAAATTACTTGATGGTGTTAGAGGGCCCGTTATTCTTACCGAGTGAATCTTGGAGAAGTTGGGTGAGTTTGCTATTTCTATAAGGGACATGTGAATTCTTTTGGGCAAGAGAAGCTATCACATCACCCAATGCAGAGAGAGATTTATTAATATGCTGCGCCTCTTTTAGTCTATCGCCTGTCACTTCGGATTTGTCGACTCTCTCACTTCCAGCCAAATCAACTAGATGCATGCAGCCTCTAAATACATTTCCAGATGTCAAATCTCTTCCTTGTACATGAACCGTTAAACAACTGCGAAAAAAGAAAAAAGAGTTCCATTATCTAAAAAAAATTAAGTTACTTTTGAAGCATGTATGGATTTAGTTTCAAAAAATTACACACCTGTGCGAGCGACTACTGCGGTCATTAAGTGCTGTTGCACCCACAGAGCGATTCCTTTGGCCGATATTCATTACATCAATAACATCAGATGTAGAAGAAACATGGACCAGACTTGCATCTGGTACACTAAGCCCTGTCTGAGAACTATTTCGAATTTCTAATGTGTTACTTGGTCAAGGAATGCATTGAAATTTTTAAAATTTTCATATTGATTTTAGTAAAAAATAATAATAAAATTTCCAGCAAAATAGATTGGGAAAGGATATCTTTTGCATATGCCATCAGTAACCAGAAGATCTCTAACTTGTTCATTATAAATCTCAATCATCTGAACAGACACATCGTAGAAGAAAGTGTCTTTTCTTTGCTCGGCAATTTCGAACAAATCGCTTAAAGCCCGATAATTCACCCCTTGGCTAGTCTCTGTCAGATTATTAGGCCCAGTCTGCATAAATTGCAAACACAAATAAGAAAATGCCAAAAACAGATACTTAACTACTTATCAATTGTAGCTTCTATCTCACCATGGTGTATGTTTTTCCCGATCCTGTTTGGCCATAAGCGAAAATGCAAACATTATAACCATCAAGTACTGATCTTACTAGTGGTTGAGTGTCTGAAAATACTTCCTCTGCAAGAACATAAAAAGGAAATTAGAGGAGATTTTACGAAACTTCAAACAGTAAAAGACCTGTTTTTTTTTAATGACCTAACCTTGTGTTGCAGAAGGCCCAAACGCTTTGTTGAAATTGAAGGACTTTCGACCTTTTCCGTTTTTTGCCAAAGTGTTTATTGTTATAGTTCCTTCTTCGATATGATCCAAAATGCTTAGGTTATTATATTGCCCTGGCAGGAATGGCCTGACACGGCAATAAACTCTAATGCTTCCTGTTTGAATTAAAATTCAAAACATTAATTTAATTGATTATCAAAATAAGAGCACAATACTAAGAAGCAATAATGTTACCTTTTAGGTCTTGTACTTGATTATAAAGCTTCCTATTCTCCTCAAGGACTCTATGATAACCAGAAGCAGCATGAGCTAGTCCGTTAATATGTTGGCCTGTTAATCAAAAGTCGATCGGGTAAATTGACAAGAAAGATTGAAAATAACATGACATATCATATAAGCAATTGATTTAAATTTAAAATTATCAAATTCTTACCAATATTGTGAAATTCTTCGTTGAATTTCATTTGCATGAACTGGATACCGGATTTTGTAGCAGAAAGAGTGTGTTTCAGCACCTAAACCAGATCATCCAAGATAACATACTATCAGCTTAAGGAACTTCTTGTCAAAGATGATGAAGAGAATATTCTAGTTTCATTTGATTCTTACCTTAATATCTTTTTGCTGTTGGTCAACAATAGTCTGCTGCTTCATGAATCTACCTTCCGATTCCTTATCGTTAATTTTGTTTTGTTGCAATATAGGGTCTTTGTTTGTGAACGCAGAATTCTTTTGTTCAATCTAATTTCGGTAAAAAATAAGAAAAATGTCAGTGAAGCAAACACACTCGAAGAAATTGAGCACTTAACTATTGATTTTTCCAAATGCATTTACAAACCAAGAGATTGATTACCTGTGCACTGGATGAAGAGGGCTTTAACACGGATTTGTTGCCACGAAAAACATTGGATTCTCCAGAATTGGCCTTCTTCTGTTACAAGAATAAACATATAAGAGAATGGAATGATGTGTTAAAAAGATTTGCAAAGTATTTCAAGGCATAGAAAGAAAACAAACCAAATCAATTTGGCTGGACATGTGATTTTCAAACTCCTCGACGACCTTACTCAATACAGACTCGACAAGCTGCAAAACAGAACAAATATATCAGCTCAAAATCAACTGTTTATTGACAAGTAATCAATATACCGATATTCTCAACATCATATTACTAAAGAAACCAAAGGAACGTACATTTGGAATTTCTTCGGGCTTCTTATCTGATAGAATTGCTCGAACAAGCATACTTAAGGAAGAATTAGGCTGCAAAAAGAAGGAAGACAAAAACAACATTATTAATACTTCATATATCATTGGTGCTGAAGCAAGAGTTAAGTGTCCACTTCAACGAACAGCTTATTTACCGTCTTATTAAAATCTCTGTCGGAACATAAACCATTAAGGGATTTCTCATTAGCAGACACACTCCTCGACAGAGAATTCGTGAATGGCTCAGAGTTTTTCCGAACAAACTGTTTACCAGATGTAGTGGCTTTAACATTTCCACCAAACTTCCAAACCCCGTTTCCTCCTGTCTGTTTCCATTCATAGTAGGACTTAATTGCCAGCACACAATTCACAACCCTCGACGATTTTCCTCCCTGAAAAAACAATTACATAAAATTTCTAGCAAAATTTCAAAATATTAATCAATCAATTCTCGAGTAATATCAGAAGTAATGTATAACTACCTGCTCAAGATCAGAGGCCTCAAAAGTAGGCATCCCCAATTCTTGCACTGCTACAAGAAAATTCCTCACATTCTCAAAGTACTGAAACGCTGACAATGCAGCGCCATCTGGCACTAGTGCCGCATTACATGGACTTTCGACTACCTGAAACAAATGGATCCAGGTTAAAAATATATATTTGGTGGATGATTTCTGAAAAAAAAAACAAGTAAAAAAACTCAATTATGTGACGAATCGATATATCTACTACAATTTCACACACCTTTTGCACAGCACCAAGCTGAACTTTATTAAGTGCATTGCAGAGAATTATTCCACTTCTCAACCCCAGCCGAAATTCTTCCTCGGAAGGTTCGTTCGGTAAATCTTTTGCGGCCACTACTCCTACGATTTTTCTCAGCCAAGCAGCAGCTTCATATCTTCTTATTGCTGACATACATGAATTTGATCTCAGAAACATCTCTAAAAATCTATACTAGATATTCACTTTATTTCGGATCCGTAGAATTGGGTCTATAAAATGGAATTTGTGATATAACTATAATCAAAATTGAACTGATCAGTCACAATTCAACCATCATCATTCTAACCATACGAATTTATAATTTCATAAGTATAAAAATTTCCCATTTTTCAGTTTGGATCTTCAGTTACCAAAAAACAGAGTATTAAACTTCGTCAAGGATTTAAAATGCCAGCAAAACCAAATTCGAACAAATTTGATTCTCTCTTAAAAGATAAAAACGAAATCGGGTCAGAATTACACAGATTCGGTTCCAGAAACACAAAATTTACCGGCTTCTTCGGCTCTGCGAGCATCAAAATCAAGAGTACGAGATCGATTTCCGTGCTGTTGCAGAACATCCTCCACAACCGACGCCACAGAGAAGGACAGTCCACCTTCAATCGCCGCCATTCCAAATTCACTCAAAAAAATTCACACAGCTCCGAATTTCAGTCCTCCGGCATAAACAGAATCAATAGAATTGATTCGATTTTATCTTAAAAAAAATATCTGACCGTTAGAAGAGTGGGCTGGGGTTCCCAATATCAATGCAGCAATAAACAAATTACATACATAAAAATTAATAATTGATAAATTGTTTCTCACTCCACAAAAACTACTACATTGGGGAATTGGCCATGAATTCGCCTTTTATTTTCTCTCACTACAAACTCGAAAAGGCTACTTCTCTCCTCTGCTTTATACTATAGTAGTGATGCTATGAGTACGAGTCAGTGCCACTTTTTGAATTTCGCTGGGATAAAGCCACATGTCGGCGAACCTCATTCCGAACCTGCAGGCTCGGATACCCCAACCGTTCAGGGGTTTTCCCTTATTTATTATTTCAAATTCGCAATTAGACAAAGAATAAATAATAAATAATAATACATTATCTTTTTTGGATTTATTGAAATATAAAATAACGTTTTTATGCCTTTTCTTTTTATTTTGTTGTAGTTCAATGTATTTCCTAACTGAAATATAAAATTTAAAAATTGCATGATTTTTTTCCCTTTGATTTGTTTGACTCGATTTTGACCAAAAAAAAATTGTTAATATAGTAATATCTTCCTCTCTAATTAAGTAAGATCACCACCTTTAATTTGTGAAGATTTTTAACCCAAACTTGAAGAGATGTCCACATAAAAAGGTTGGAACAAACGAATCAAGAGTCAACTTTGTTGACATAAAGTTTGTGGAGTATGATATTTTTCAATTTTAATTATTTCAATTTCAATTTTTTTTAGGAAATAGTTACTGATTCCTCAATTTTTCTCTAAGAGTCTCAAATCCATGATCAAATAGTCTTAAATATAAAGTGCTTACCAATATGCTACATTGTCTTGATCGATTTCACTTTTATGTTTTAACATTTTAAGGAGAGGTGTAAGAAAATAAAAAAGAAAGCCACATATTGTCATTATATAATATAGTCGACAAAATAAAGCATCATCATTTGTGTATCGAACTTTTTCTAGTCTATTCATCATTATAATATCGTACACCCTTCGTTTTAATTAGCAGTCTTTTTAAAGAACTTTTTTGGTTATATATTATCTGTAAATTAATTTTTTGATGAATGCATTGATTTTTTATTTTGTCCTTGTTACTCGTATTTTATTCAAATATACATATTCTCACAAACAAACAACCATTAATTGAGGGAGAATTAGAGGGAGGGATATTTTAGTAATATAATATATTTTTTCCTAAGTTTTTTTTGTAATACTTGTGACTATACCTTAAAAGGCACATAATTCAAAAGGCATGGGGTGAATTAAACTAGCTAATTATGTTTGACAATTTTTTGTTTATTTATCGGTGACATTGAACCAGAAAAGCATCTAGAGAATAACTTATGACTAAAATAATTAAAAGTTGAAATTATTTTTTTAATTTAGCTTCAAAAGTTCAAATTAGGAAAAATAAATGCTCCACAGCTGGGAGGGCAATGGGTCGTTTTCTGGCAATGAGTTGTTAGTTGAAAGCGGTTAACTTCAAAGCTGGTGTCACAAAATAAATAATATAGTAAATAAATTAAAATAAAAATAGTAATTAAAAAAAGACAACAAACTTAACTTATGGCCTTCACTTTCAAGTAACAATCTTTTTACCAAACCCTTTCTGCTGTCTTTGAGCCCAAGTCTCCAAATATTCTAACATTGCATATATCAATATTATATATTTAAATTTGTAATAACACATTACGAAATTATCTTTAAAAATCAAACGAAATTTTATATTAGATGGTGTAAATATTATATGGATCCTTTTTAAAAAAAAATTGGAGCTACAATTTTAAAATAAACAAATATAGGAAGAAAAAAAAAATATTTTTTTCAAATTTGCAGCTCAAAATAATAATAAATGCATATATCAACCAAAGGCATAATTGATTTATAATACTTTGCCATTCTTTAAGAACAGCCACGAAAATTAAAATGAAGTTGTTGGATACTTATTAAATATAAAAAAAAAACAGGGATATTTTCGTCAGTATTTCGAACTCTACAGACTAACGTTCGAAAAAAAATTCAAATATCAGGTTCGGAGCCGAGCCTGAGAGGTTCGGAGGTGTCCTGGGTCCACGGAGAGCGTATTACCTGGGGTCCATCGGGACGGCGGGTGATAAAATCATGTGATAGCGGCTGCACAGTTACTACCATGTAGCACCGAATGTGATTACTGCTTTGCAAATTTTAATGACGTGTCAGTTTTTCATTCGATGAAACAGCTTTAAAACAATTGGCAAAGGCACATCCGAATTTGATCCCATTTTCACAAGTAAGATAATTTTATGATCCTTTTTCTATTTAATAATCCTGACATTTTTTTAATACTTTATGGTATTTTTTTATTTAAATAATAATTGAAATATTCATAATATATTTAAGATAAAGTATTAGGACAAAGAATCATCTGCGTTTAATAATTTAGAATTTTCATTTTATGCAAATAAATATATTAAAATATCAGTTAGGCCAAAAGGTTTAAACAAAGGGCCATCCAAAACATGCAAGCACGGTTGGTGTTAGATTGGCCGACCTCACCTTCATTTCAATTCTATCACATTAACTGTGTCCAAATAATGCTAATTTAAATGTTTTGTGATTAATTAATATATATATATATATATATATATATATATATATATATATATATATATATATATATATATATATATATATATATATATATATATATATATATATATATTTATTTTATCTCACATGCTGCAAAAGTGAAAATTGGTCCATCAACCAAACCACTATATAAGATATATTTGCACATAATTAGATACATCGAAATGTTGTCTGAGGTCCATACATACATACATACATACATACATACATATATAACCTCACTTTGTGGTGCTGCACAATATGCAAAATTTACTCCATTATATCTATCTATATATATATATATATATATATATATATATATATATATATATATATATATATATATATATATATATATATATATATATATATATATATATATATATATATATATATATATATATATATATATATATATATATATATATATATATATATATATATATATATATATATATATATATATATATATATATATATATATATATATATATATATATATATATATATATATATATATATATATATATATATATATATATATATATATATATATATATATATATATATATATATATATATATATATATATATATATATATATATATATATATATATATATATATATATATATATATATATATATATATATATATATATATATATATATATATATATTGCATGTCAAGAATTAATGATCACATTTTTCTTGAGCAAATAATAATAATTTCACTTTATTCACGTTACTGGTTCCTTTTCATTGTTTTCATGTCATAATTATTATATTTAGTGAATCCTATGTAATTTTTTTTTTGCTAATGAACAAATATGTGTATTCTTTGCTTTTGATTAGAATAAAGTAAAACAACTGTCTGAAAGAAAAATAAAATTAATCATCATATTTTTCCGGGTATTATGGGGAGGGAGGGTCCATAAACCACCACACATATCATTACAGCAGCACTCCTTAAATGTCTTTTTGAAATGGCTTTTAATTTTACAGCCTATCAAACTATGATGAACAGAAATTGCACTACTTTAATTTGCTGATAATGATATATTTATTATCATGATTATTATTATATTTCTTTTCATCCCTTTTTATTTACAATAATACTTCACTTCTGGCCTTCTCACTTTTCTTTGATTCTCGTTTATCCAAAGCAGGGGTCATCTCGTTGTCCCGGTCTACTTTGGAATCAACTTATAATTTATGATCAATTACGAGAAAAAAAATTAATTGTTAGAAAACCGAGCTACTCGTGACAGACTCAAGTTGAAACTCGTTCGAGCTTACCAACCCAAATCCAAACACAATTTATTAAAGCTCAATAAATATTTTTGTCTAACTAATAGTCTTTAGCATCAAATGTGATTTAATCAAATATTGTGTACTATATGATGGAAATGCAGAACCTGAAAGCCCACTGAATTTGGATCCACTTTAATTCGGAACAATTCTGAGAATTAGATACTACTAGCTGTACACATATCATTCAAACATTCGAACAAATTTACATTTCCGAAAATATACACAAAAACTTACGTAATCTGCTCGGAAAGGAATCTACAAAGGCTGACACGAAATTTGGTATCCTTTACAGAGTCCAAATAAATTCAACGAGAAGAATCGAATATACTCAATAGTATCACTCCTGTATTATAACAATTTATCATCATTATCATATTAGAATACTTCTTTCCCCAACAACTATAATACAGATAAAGATCGGGAAAGAGAGAAATTAACAATCTTAAAAAAATGATCCGATCAATCATGCAAACTCGATATATCCTTAAAATGTTTGAGGGTGTGGATCAGGAGGAAATAAATCAGTAAGAGAGCGGTGAATCATCTCGAAACTAGTAAACGTGATCACAGCAGCTGGGGTGGTCCTTAGCAGATTGGTGGCACACCCCCGATAAAAACCAGTCATACCCTCTTGCTGAAATACTTTCTTAACGCAATCAACCACACCAGAATACCGCTTCTCTGAGTGGTGCCCTTGTTCTTGAAGCCTCGAACGCACAACCTGCGATTTAAGTTTGTCAAAAGGAAATCGATTTAAATATTATTAGTTTCAGATATATTATTTTTGTCAGGAACACAGATTAGGTATCATAAAACCATTTTATCAAGATGGGTAAACAAGTCTAGACAATAAAGAAAATGTATTTGTATATATCCAACAGCTGCACCATAAAAAGGTGTCAAATGCAAGAATTGGATCTCGGCTATTGGTGGGAAAAAGGACAAATATAACAATAAAATAAAAATAAAACATGAAGTTGACAAGTATTGATTCATACTTCCGGCAAAAGATGTATTGTATTCTATGTTGGTCAGTTTGTATATTTGTCAAGCATTCGAAAATGAACAAATAATTGATATACAAGAGTAAGGAAAAAGGGGGGAAAGGAAGACAGCCAAAGATGGTTCTCTTTTCGCCATACCTCATGTGGATATGTCAAGGTAGATGCGAATATTTTAGAAACTGATGAAGCTAGAGCAACATGGCCCGCGCTGAGTTTGTCAGTCGTCGTGTTATCTACCATTATTACACAAAATTCACATTACGTTATTTCACTGAAGAAACGAAAGATGAATGAGAAGAAATAAGAACAGAAAGGTTTTGAGGCAGAAATCAGCAAACAGATACCTCTATCAGCCAAGGTACATTTTATCTTCTCATATGTTGGAAACTGAATCGCGACATGACTAATACCAGCTAAAGCCGGCACAAGACCGCTGCATACCAGAAGAATGTTAGAGAAAAGATAGAAATCAATCCTGACCCGAAAAAAAAACCCAAAATAAGATATAATATTAAAAAGCATATAGTATATTAACCTATACAATCCACGAATACCCTCCTTCTGTGCAATTCTTCTCAAGGCAGATAGTGTGCCCGTATAAGGAACCGTGCCGATTCTCATTCCTTGTGTCTGCATGTAAGATATAAAAGAAATCAGTCAAAATATTGATTGTGAGATGGGTCGATACCATATTTCATGACACCAAGTCACCCACCATCAGTACATTTAAGCAAACCAGGCAAGTTAAATTCACATGGTTTGAAGTTGAAGTGGTATTTACGACATTAAGTCATGAATGTTCATATATGAACCATCTAAATTCAGTTAAACTGTTGTTCTATTTGTGAGTGCAATTACTCTGTCCATATTTTCCGATGATTCTGTGAAATATGACTACCTCAACTTGCAGAATCGATAACAAAGATGAAACATGTCATGACAAAGTACGTGCAACAGTAGAGTCCAAGTAAATAATTCAATATTTTACTTGTTTCTATTGCATACTCCAGAGTTCAGGCTCCATAGATCTACTCTACACAGCACTTTTCATTTAAATCACAACATTGATGGTCAGATATTTATTTCTAAAATGGCTGATCTCCACCAAAACCCCCTCTGTTATTGGATACTCCGGAGTCCACGCTCCATAGATCTACAACACACAACACTTGTTTCTGTTTTTCATTTAAACCATAACCTTGAGGGTCAGCTATTTATTTGTAAAATGGCCTATCTCCACCAAAACCAACCTTCCTCTCTACCTCTCTCACCCTTGTCTTCCATTGTTTTTGCAGACGATGCCTCAGAAGTTAAACGAAAGGTTTAGCACAACAAAGCCAATCACTTATGCAGAAAATGAACAGGGATGCCCTAGGATGAAGACAAACATCATAATATTCCATACCTTCAGATATCAAGCGACAAGCATAAAGGATAAAAATACATATTGTGGAACCAAAGATTAAGAACATTAAATCATAGACAGATATCATCTCAGTACCATGCAGAAATAAATGGGATCCTACATCATGCACAGAAGATGTTTCCTAAATAAAAATGCATTTTATTCTGCACACATATCCAGTATCATACATGAGCGAAAAATTTCCCTCCAAGAGTATGTATGTATTTAAACTCAATTTGATGCAGTGTACTGTAATTAGACCAAAAAAATAAATCTAAATAGCTGATACATTTTTTGGGTCAAGCATTCGAAAGAATTAATTTGTCTGCATATTACATAAATCAGCTGCAACTTTACAGCATCAAAACAAAACATTCAAATGCAAGTATTTTCAGAATAAAAAATGAAATAGTAAGTAAACAATAGACATACTTGAAACCTTGTCTTGACAACCCAAAGAGGATTGGTCAGAATTGTAGTCACAGCTCCAGCACCAGAAGCAGCCATCATATTTGCACCAACAGAGAGCTGATGATTTACATCTATAATTTCCAAAAATAGAAGGCATACTCAATAACGAAATAAACGAAACCCACTTTGATATCCATTTTCAAGTAGAAAAAAGTAAAATAATTTTTTTTTGTTTTTTTGCTCGAAAGAGAAAAAATGCTAAAAAAGAAGCAGCTATTTAACTAACCATCAGCTGCAAGAGAACTCTTTAGTTGATCGTAAATGGTAAAATATACCTGCAAAAGGTTTACATCATTTCATTTTCATTGAAATCGTTTGCTTTCCGAAAAGGAGAACAGGTTACTGCCCCAGTTCAAGAAGCATCATCACAACAACAACATACAACAAAAGTTAAGCAACATAAATCTGCTTACAGCCCAATTTGGAAGCAATGCAAGCACTGTAGGGGCGAGCCCACGGTACATGCCACGCAAACCTTCCTTATGAAATATCTGTTCTAAGCTCCCTACTATAACACTACCTGGAAATTACAAAAGGACAAACATCATCAAAATTCTTCTATGCAAAATTACAGCAGCATTGGCATACACCTTGCAAATGTCAACTCCTCAAATAATTTAATATTGACTCAAACTTAAGATCTTTGATTTTGAATAACAGGCACATATTCTACATTTTACTAAATCGGCAAATAATCTCACCTTTGATGTTGGCATTAGCGATCTGCGGCAGCCCATGGACCTGAAGCCTGGTCTTAATAACATCTAAAGGACACACAAATGTAGCTGCAATCACTCCTGCACCAATTCAAATTCAAACCTCATAAGAATTTCACTCTAATACATAGCAACTCTAAGACCAGGAGAAGAAAGAGAGGAAATATCTATGACACAACTACAGAAGTTCTATATTCCTAACCCACATGCCCTGGGAATATTGATGCTTGGGTGTGCGTACCGCTGAAATAAAACCAAACTACTCGATTTGACATCGTTCGTTAAAATCTTGTTGTAGTTTCAATGAGCTATGGCTCGTATGATTAAATAGTTACAAAAATTCAAACTGAGCTCGATTCATTTTCGGCTCAATTAAAGCTCGTTTGAGTTCCACTCGATTGTTTATCACACCAAGCTCATGTGTTCGGCTCGATTTGTTTACAACCCTAAGAGTGCGGTCGTGATCGGAAAAAAATAATTACACATCTACTAGATGTTCTATGTCATATATCTGCCGGATATTTTGGTTACGCGGGTATATAGAAGCTTCAATATATTTGATAATATAAACACTCCAAATTCAAAAATAAATAAACTACGTTCTCTAATACTCCTTGCAAAGGAAAAAAAAAAACCGATTCAAATGATATTTCAAGTGGAATAGAATAAAAGAGCGCATTCAATTTGGAACAAGAGCAGCATGAATTGTTGCCTATTAAGTTGACTAATGAAAAAAAAAAAAAACAGTACAACTATATATTTACCAGCCGCAGCACCGGCGCCAGCATTGCAGAGAAGTCCTCTGGGACTAGGCCCATGAGTATCTGCGGCCATCGCGAAAACTACAACAATCGGCTTGCAAAAATTCAACTGCCTTCAAATCAACAACACAAAATTCAATCTCAGCGCCTATACAGGTGGCGGATGTGGAATCCTCTCTTGAGAGGCCGATCGTTGCCGAGAGCAACCGTCGCATGGCCAATCCGTGCAGCTCAAATCGATAAATTCAACCGAATCCCCCTTATCGCCTGCAATTAGGAGAACATGTTTTTGAGAAATTAATCACTCCGCATCGATTAAATACAGAAAATTATAGGGTTCTCCAATCGAATATTGTAAAAAATGAGCTGTCGATTACTGTACCACTGTATGAATTTATGTGGCGATGGGATTCAGAATTTCAATCGAATCGCGCGAGTTGATTATAATCTAATCCTCTCTGATTCGACGTTGAGAGAGAAGGAGACCGGGGAAAAGAAGAGAGAGAGAGAGAGAGAGAGAGAGAGAATAAGTATATAATTTGGATTGAGTTGAATCCTTCAAAAGGGGCGAAAGCTATTTAAACCTAGAAAATAAAGGGAAAATAAATATAATTGGATCAAAATTTCCAAACTTTTGTTGGGCTGGATTTGTATCCACGGCGACGATTCGCCGAGAATGGGCCCAGATGTTGTGTCTAGAAAAATTCAGTTTGACAATTTATTATTTAAAATATAGATTACTGCATCCTGACGTATAATTGTCACACTAATATATGATTGGATCATTGAATATTCTAAATCATCTTGTACTAAAATAATGTTATAATAAAATGTTTGCATTACACGAGGGAATATCATTATATCATTGATTGGTTTTGATTTTTGAACCTTTGTTGTCTCTTGATTTTGATAGAACTGATTTCAACTTTTTCTATGTACACACATAACATTATAATATATGGTTTTATGATTATCATAATAATATTTTTTTTAAAAGGTCAAAACTGCAAATGTCATAAATCAAAGTATTCAACAAATTAGGACGGTAAATGGGCCCATGTGAATCGAGTTTGGGTTGATTTAAATTCACATACTATCGGGCCTTATTGATGTATATTCAAGGTGATATATCATTAGGCTTTATTACTATCGGTTTAAGTTCTTCGACTTCGAATTTATATCGGGCTTATATCGAACGATTACATATTTTACAACTTTGCAGTCGAACTTGTTCAAACGAAAATAAAAATTGTCACAACTAAAAAGGAAAATCTAGAATATTGTCGCATAGTAATCATACAGTGTACGTTATCGTCATGATTTCGTACTACTTAATGATTATATAATTGCAATCATAGAAAAGAAGGAATAAAAATTTATAGTTTATTGCCAATGTTTTGAAATCAATATCCACTATTAATTATATATCAATCACCGAATTGAATGAAATGAAATCCTTAAACACTGATGATGGCTACAATATTAACATGGGTTTTTACTTTTTACACACTAAATCACTAAGCCAGATTATGCCATAAATGACTATACAGATCCGATGGAATTAAATATCCTTTTATTAAATTGGAGTGACTTTTTTTTTAGGGGGCATGTATTATTTAAGTATTATTAAATAATATATTTGCACAAAAAATAATTTATATTGTCTATTATTGAATTAAACTCACGTCTACGTCTTGAGAGGAGAAAATAAATAAATAAATAATAAAATATAAAACTGCCTTTTGCATTTAGTGCATTCTTATCTCCACAACTTTTTATATTTGCATTCCAAAAAAGGTAAAATTGTACTATTTATTTTCTTTGGATATAAAATCGTACTAAATTCAAATAGTAATCACTACGTATTTAATATTTATCGCTTTATTTATTCAATTCAAATATATAATCTTATTATCAAAAATTGACTAAATTTCCACGGCATTGCATTTGAAATTTGTAACCAAAAGAACAATAATTAATTCTTAAGGATTACAATTTAAATGGTACTAAAATTTGTAATCCAGGATTAGATATTAAAATAAATCCATTAAATAATTTTTTTGTATACATATATAGGCGAAATATGTAATTTGGTTGAAATTCATGCATTTCTCTTATTATATATCAAATTTTTGTAGAGATATAGAATCACATTATATAATAGCTTCACCTCTATAAAAAAAATCATTTCACTTACTAAACAAATTTATTTTTCTCGAGAATATCTTAAATAAATAAAATAATAATAAATAAAATTTCTCTCTTGCATTTCCGGTAATAACGAGGAGAAAAATGTCACTGTGGAAATTAAAATTGCATAAGGGGGGTAATTCTGTAAAATCGCAGCAACACAATTGGTTGAATAACATACAGGTGGAACAAATCCAAAAAATGGCACTTGAAAACAGTCGTCGTCTTTCTTCCCCCTTTACTACAGCCAGCCATTATTTTACTGTGTTCCCTAATATACCCCTGACTGAGAAACAAGCCAAAAAAATGCAACTAAAAACACACACACACACAGTAAGTCATAACATTCCACCTCCTCATCACACAGTCTAAGAACAAAACCCTTTCAATTTTGCCCAAATCCACTTGAATTTAATCTCATTTCAATCAAAATTGGATTTCACGAATCTTGAAATCACAAATTCCCCAAGTCAAAACGCTTTTTGACACAAATTTTTTCTTGTTTCAATCTATAAATAGGGGCATACATTTCAATTGTTTATTTCACAGTCAGTTGAGAGCTTGAATTGAAGAGCAATGTCAAGTAACGGAGGGTATTCGGCGGCGCCGCCGAGGCAGGGCGGCGATAGGTTTTACAACCCGCCGGCGGTTAGGCGCCACCAGTTCATGCTTTTAGAGCAGCAAATGATGCAGAGGCAGCTGCTCCAACAACAACATCAGCAACAACAACTGCAGAGGAGGCCGATGGAGAGGCCGGAATCTTCTTCCGAGGCGGAGGCCGGGAGGCGGAACGACGGTGATGATTCGTCGCCGGTGGTGCCATTGTATCCGCAGCGTTATGTTGGCCCTGGTCCGACTTTTAATTTTACCAACTTGGATCGTTTAATGGAATCTGTTACTCCATACGTACAGGCGCGGCATTTGCCGGAGGTATACAGAATAATTAAGTTTGTTTCGTCTAATTTTTTTATTTTTTATTTTTTATTTTTTTAATTTGGTTTCTTGTTCGTTTTTAAAAGAAAAAAAAGCCCTAAACCTCTGTTTTGTTTACAGTAAATTGAGAATGCATGCAGGAAATGAAATGCAATTTTTTTTTTCCCTATGAACTAATTCTTCGATTGATCAAAAGATCAAGTTTATAAGGCTTTTCGAAATGATTTTTTTTATCTGAAACGTTTTTTATTTATTTTATTGTTTCATTGAAATTTGAGATTGATAAGCAGATTTCTTGTAATTGTGTTTTTTAATTGTTTGCAACAGAATTTTTTACATGTGAAAATTGGGATCTGCATTTGAATGGGAGTTGTATGTGAGTCTTGAACCCCTTTCTGAAACCAAATGAAATGCACCCCAGGTGTAAACAATGATGAAATTCTTTGAACATTTGGATCTCAAATCTTAATAAAGAAGAGGATTAGATGGTGATCTTAGACGAATTTGAAAATTAATTTGGAAATGAATCTTGAAATTTGTACTTCTTCTGAGATTTGTTGTTTTGTGGCTGTTTTGGGAGATTTTGTTGTAACAGTTTTGAAAACTCTTTAATTTGTGTGGTTTTTCAGAAGATATCTTAACTAATTTTAAAAATTCGTTGATTCGCGGTTTTTTTGGAAGATCTTTTTTTTCCTATATTTAAAAGTCGTTATTTCGCACGGTTATTTTGAGTCTGGTGAAGTATTTTTGAAAATTCGTTGTTGTTTAGAATTTTGTGAAATACTTTTGAAAAGTCGTTGATTTGGCGCGCACTTGATTCTGGAATAATTAGTAATTATATTTTGAAAGGTCGTTAATCTTGCGGCCTGGAAGATTATGTTTTATTACTATTTGCAATATGAAATATCAATTAAGTTGTTTTTCTAGATCTTCTAAATAAGTTCTCGATTGGTCATTAATACACGGCTGTTTAGAAGATTTATGTAATGAGTTTTCTGTCATTAGTTTGCAGTTTTCTTAAAAGATTTACAAAAGAATTTAGTTATGGAAAGTTCATTAAGTGCTGGTTGCGTATTTATAAGAAAAGCGAGTTTCTGAAAGGTCGTCCGTGGACCCCATTTTACGGAATCTAACAAAACTTTCATTAATTTTGTGTTTTGTTGACAGGTGGATGCAAGAGGACGGAGAACGCGGGAAGTGGATTCTCTTCCTTTTTTTTACTTGGAGGATCTGTGGGAATCTTTTTGCGAGCGAAGTGTTTATGGAGCCGGAGTACCTTTAGTGTTAAATGGGAAGGACCGATTTAAACAATATTATGTTCCATTTTTGTCAGGCATACAGTTGTACATTGACCCGTCACAGCGGTCTTCTCGAGCTAGGTTTGTTTTTACTGAACTCAGCTAGTCTTCTGTTAGTCGCCGTCAATTATATGGTTGTCGTATTAAGTAATATTCATTCATTTATATCTTTGCATGCAGTAAAGTAAATAACATGCTATCATTGATTGTCCGATTCATATATGTAATTAGGGCATTTTAGCAGTATCGTTCTTAGTTGCTTCTCCTGTTGTAGATAAACTAAATCTAAAGAATGAGGTTATACTGTATAGGTGGTTCGAGTTATATCATCTATTATTTTCTTGAGATTTTTTTTAGTAAGATAACAATTCTCGTACTTAGAAACTGGATGGTTAGGGTAGGGAAGAGGCCTTCCTTTTATTCATAATTGTCATTTGGAAATCATATTTCCTTGCATAGGATCTGTTAAATACGTTACCTGTTTGCATGCTATTCTGGGAATTATAACTCACTGTGCTTGTGCTTGTATTTAATGACATGAATATGGAAAAAAAAACTTTTGTGAACACAAATCCTAATGATAAATATACCAAGATATCGGCCCTGTATTTTGAGCTCTTTTTGTTCTTTCTTTTCTTGTACCTAGTAGCCAAATGTTTGCGATTCACCTATATTTATTTTTCTGGTAAAAAATTATTGAGCTAATAGCTTCATAACTTGTATCTCCAGAGAATTGAACGAGGAGGTTGATGCTGAGTCATATAGGTTGACAAATAGTGGTGGCAGCAGTAACTCAGTAGGAGATAGGAGAACTTTACCCATTTTCAATTTGAACATGCAGCGACCGAATAGGGTCTCGCTGGAAGATAATTATGCCATAGGTTCAGTTACTTCTGGATATGATACTTCTACTTCACCTGGACGTCCTTCGTTTCAATTCTTGGAAGACGAACAACCTCGTAATCGCAGACCACTATCCGACAAGGTATACATCTTTTTTCGTGTTTGATTGATTACTTCATTGTCGTCCATTCATTTCCCTGTCCTATGAAATAATTGTTGTTCAAGATCTTTTTTTTTTTTTTTTTTCAAAATGACCTGTTCAGATATCGATACTTGCATCCCGATATCCCGAGCTGATCAAATGCAGGAGCTGTGATCTACTTCCTGCAAGTTGGATTTGTGTAGCTTGGTATGTTTTATTTGCTCCTTTTTTTTTACATTATTTACGATACGATTGAGGTTTTGTGGCTAATGTTATATTTGTTGCAGGTATCCAATTTATAGGATTCCGATGGGCCCAACACTAAAAGATCTCGATGCTTCTTTTTTGTCATTTCATTCTTTGTCTACCCAACCGAGACGTACATCTCTCTCTCTCCTCTCTATGTAACACACACACACACACACACACACACACACACACATATTGTAGGTGTGTGATAAAGCATGATCGTATTGCCTTATTGAAACAAATACACGTTTTTTTGTTGCAGTTCGCTACCCACCTCGGTTCCATGCTGCGAATACTAGAGTAGATCGAGGCTTTGTCGATCCAATGGCTAGGATTTCATTACCAGGGTTTGGCCTTGCTTCATACAAGCTGAAAGGATCGATCGTAAGTCCTAGTGGACCCTACGAATGCGAGCAAGAGACTTCTCTCTTACATGCTGCGGACAATTGGCTCAGATGTTTGGATGTTGCTCTACCTGATTACGATTTTTTCCGTTCTCACTACCCTCGCCAGCTCAGATGACGTGGACCCCCACAACTCAATAAAAAAAACGTTTTTGGAAACCACCGGTTTTAGAAAAGCCTATTCGCTCCACCACCAAAATTCCTGGTAAATGTGTTGTGCAGTGTTGTTTAAAGAGCTTTTCCAGTGTTGTTAGTATGTAAAATTCCTTGAAAAAAGGAATTATTATTAGTATTAATATAATTCCCAAAATAGAAGAAGTAGGATAAATGATGAGGTTTTCGGAAGAGATTATACTATCAAGTTTTAACATTAGTTTAACATGGGAGAATGGTTGATGATATATTAGTATAGTTGTTCAATAGGGGTATTATGGTAAAATTGTCCATGATAGTGGCGAAAAATAGAAACATATGTAACATGTGCTTTTAGAATGGATGTTATTCCTAACTCTTATAAAGCCTTTATAAAATTTGTTTTTGGAACTAAATATTTTATTTTATTGCTGTTCATTTCTTATGTATGTTGTAATTGCATTCGATTCATCTGTCTATGTTTCTCTCTTTGAGTTGATACTTTGTTGATTCATGTAATTAAATGCCTGATTTCAGATTTGGAATTTGAATTATGGACTTTGACTCTAATAATAATAATAACTAAAGTCAAAGCAGTAGAAAAAACGATTCTATTTGGTGTAAGTAAGTAATTAACTAAATTCAAAATAGATGAAAAAAATGGAGTTCCCGGAGAATCGAATCTGGGAAGGTGGAGTCGAAAATACTATGAGAAAATATATAAAGAGTAGTCAAAATGAATGAACAAATTCAATAAAAAAAATTCCAATTCGTTTTTTTTTATGACGGGATGATAAAATATGGATTTTACTAGATTATCGGATTTGTCGAACAAAACATCAATCCGTCTTTGAGTTTGAGTTGGAATTAACAAATATCAAAGAATGAAACTTCGTAATACTAATAGTAAAATTAGAGTAAACTGCAAAAACTACCCCTGTGTAATCTTGAAATAGCAAAACTCCCTGTGATAAATATACTAGCAAAAACCTCCCTTGTGAAATTATTTAAATAGCAAAAAACCCCCCTATGGAACTATTTGAGGGTTGACTTGATATAAAAAGACACAAATACCCCTGGAGTCTTGCAATTAATAAATTCTTATATTTCATAAATATTTTAATTATTTTATTTAAAAAATAATCAATTTAGTTGTTTACTATTTTTTTTAATTTCTAAACAAACAAATTAAAAAGAATAAATATACATATAATATGTATATATATAAATACATTTTGAGGGACAATTTTGTCATTTCAAGTCTAAAAAATCAGCTAGGGGGGATTCTGCCTTTTTCTAAATTTCACAGGGGGGCTTTTGCTAGTTTATTTATCACAGGGGGGTTTTCGCTATTTTGAGATAACACAGGGGTAGTATTTGCAGTTTACTCAGTAAAATTATTAAGCACCATGTAAATAAATAGAGAGAGAAAGTCAACAAAAAAAACAGAATTTTTTTTTCAAAAAAAAAAATGAAAAAAAAAAAGAAAAAGAAAAAGAAAGAAAAAAAAGTATAGTAAGGACAGAGAAAATGAGCCAAAACTATGCAGGCAAAAAGCCCAGTGGGCTATTATTATATACAAAGTGCATATCCCCCAAATCAGAGTAGAAAAACCGGGTTATCCCTAATTTGAAAACCTTGTTCTTGTCCTGGAAAACCATATCCACGTTTTCATTGAGATTTACTGCTCTGACACTATTCCAGTTTATTGATTCAAAAGGTGCGCCATTTCTTCTCTTCCTTCTCCGTTTCATATTCCGATTACACAATCTAATTCATACATGTATACTTATATATATATATATATGCCTACGATTTATCGAGAAATCTTTTCGTGTTCCTTTACTTGAATTTGTTTTGTCTCACTCTAATCCAATTCCTATTTTTTTCCTGGTGAATATGATTTTTATATTCATAGTTTGTTGAAATGGACTGAAGATTTATGATTGAGAGATTGTATATTCTCATATTAATTTTGATTTTCATGTAATTTTTTTTGTGTGATCGAAAATATAAATATTCCGTTGCATGATTATGCGTTATATGAAATGGTGTTGTGCATCGATTTTCAAGTGTAGTGAATAATGGGAGTTGAAGTGCGGAGCAGTAATTATCGACTGAGGACGATTTGGACACCGGAAATGGATCGATACTTTGTGGACCTGATGTTGGAGCAAGTTGACAGAGGAAGAAGTAGAGATGATCATTTGTTCAGCAAAAGGGGATGGAATCATATGTCTGCAATGTTTAATTCCAAATTCAATTCCAATTACGAAACCGATGTCCTCAAAAACCGGCACAAGATGCTTAGAAACCTCTTCAGGGCAATTAGGAATCTCCTCGCGCAGAAAGGCTTTTCTTGGGACGAATCTCGACAAATGGTCACAGCTGATAACCGAGTTTGGGATGACTATATTCAGGTTGCAACCATTTTTCGATTTTTTTTTACACGTAACGCCATTGTCGATGCAGTTTAGAATTTATATGTAATTGTTTGTTTTTTTTTTTTGTGTGTGTGTGTGTGTGTGTGTGTTTGTGTGTGCAGGGGCATCCGGATGCACGACCGTACAGAACGAAAACAGTTCCATATTACTCCGATCTATTTGAAATATATGGAGCCTCGGGCTCGGGAAGTAAGAGCTCAATTCCTAAGCAAAAAGCCGATTGCAGTGGGAATACGGTACAATGTGATGGTATTGTCGGCTTTTTAGAAGATACGCAAGTCGTTGATACAAGTGTGAACTACGGTACACCTAGTAGCAATATGATTGGATCAATTCGCGCAAGTGAGATGGCTAACGAGCCTCTTCACGATATAACAATTGACGAAGACTACGATGTGTCGGTGGCAAAAGGAATGGTCGATGAAACAGCGTATCAGTTTCTGTCTGATATTGGGTCAACTATAGGTACTCGTACTAGGAGGACTTATTGGCAGCCGCCTATGGACCGTTACTTTGTCACTCTTTTGTTGGAACAAGTGAACAAAGGTAACCATGTTGATGGTTTGCTTAGAAAACATGCTTGGAGAGAGATGATTTCGTCGTTTAATGATAATTTTGAATTTAGTTATGGTGTCGATATTTTGAAGAATCGATTTAAAACTCTTAGAACGCAGCATAATGTGATAAATAATCTTCTGAAGATGGATGGATTTGCTTGGGACGATGCTCGCCAAATGCTCGTTGCTGATGATCCTATCTGGCAAAATCATATCAAGGTGATTTTTTTTTCTCTCTTGTTTGGTTGGGGAGTTTAGCCATGAATAATTAAATAATTTTAATGTTTGGTAAACCCAATAGTTCCCCGGGTCGACCCTGAAATATTATTTTATCATTATCGTATCTTGACGTTTTAAAAGATTATTTATTGGACTTCTCATGGTCCAATAATATAATTGGGTTTCATTGAATTATTTAATCTTATCCGAGGAACCAAACGAGGCCTAAAGCTATTAATCATAAAAAAAAATCGACTTTTGACTATGTGCAGGCTCATGCAGAAGCTAGACAATACATGACCAGACCTGTTCCGTACTTCAAAGATTTGTGTTTGATATTCAGAGAATTGAATGACGATGACAACGAGAAAAACTTAGAGAATCTTGCAGTCGATCAATCTCCATCTGCATCAGTGTCCAGTTACGAGGGGAGAGAATCTACACATCAAGATTGTGACATAATTATAGCGGCTAATCCAGTGACAAAGCGACGCCTGGAAACCCCACCATTCACGGGATCTTCCAAAAAATCTCGGAGCGAAGATGAAGGTGTGAAGGCAGTTCCTGTAGAACTTGTAATAGCGTCGATTCAAGCCTTACCCGATATGGATGAAGACCTTGTTTTGGATGCTTGTGATCTCCTCGAGGATGACAAGAAAGCTAAAACATTTTTGGCATTAGACGTGAAGTTGCGAAAGAAGTGGTTAATAAGGAAGATCCGTCCTTCGCAATGACATAATAGCTCGATTTTGGTACTTTTTTTTTTTAAATAAATTTAATTTAATTTTGTAGTGGCTATCAACTGAGCAAGGAAACCAGAAAGCTTCAGGTGAAGAATAATTATTTAGACTTCCACTAAAATAATTCCCTATTTTTTGTTTTTGCCCCAATTTGAGAATTTGAGTGTTTTTTGCCCCATTTTTGTTGCAATAAATGACAGGTTCACATTTCACACGTTGAATTGATGAATCAAATTGTGCTCAATTTATTGCAAATAAATCAATCAAGTTAATGGTTTAGTTGTCTGATACTCATCCAGGAATTGAATAATTCAATCACAAAATTGAAATTATGAAAGAAAAATGTGTGTGTTGATGGAGCAGAAACTGCAAGAACAAAGCAGGAAACACAGGAACTGACCATGGTCCTGAGGTATCACAGTACATTAGCTGTTCATATCATTACTACTATATACTAACTGCTCGAGACAGAACAGACCAAGGCAACACGAGAAATGACGATAATGGCCCTTTCTGTCAATAACTAGTTGTAAAATTATGCAGCTTTGGCCTTAATCCAGATACTCATAAGTCGTCAAGAATCGTGGATAACAGCAATCCCTGTATAAACTCACACCGTTTGGCCGCCCTGTCATTATTCCCGTCTGTTGACAGGGTCGTTATTCTGCAACCATCATAAATGAAGAGAGAAAAAAAGTTATGGTAAGATCGAAATTTGCCTCCGATATAGTAAAATACAAATTGCGTCTACTTATTCAGGAGCATAGCGAAATAATGCATGATAAGCAAATTGGAAATTGGAATATCCTACTTACTTGTGAGAACACTGAAAAAACGGAAGAGTATAGGAAAACTAAATCAACAGATAAACCACTTATAGCAGGTTTTTAATACCCTTCCATTGACTAATTTCCCGTTTCGTCCTTCTATATTTTGAGAATTAATGGGAAAAGGGTCAATGTAAAGTTTGATTGTTTACCTTCATCGATAAAGATTAACATACTAACCCGAGAAAATGGGGTAAACTACTACTTTTGACATTGAATAACAAGTTATTTACTTACAAATATCTTAAAAAAAGAAAACTATCTCAGATTCCACCACATACGAAGAGATAACTCATAATAACACAAAAACGTTATGAAAGAATATATGCACGTCATATGCCTCTAAGGTAGTACGTACCAACCTACCAAACTGTTAACCGTTGTCACATTGATACACAACTTTATAAAGTTTGTAATAGATCAAAACCGAAAGATGCTACGATAAACAAAATTTCACAACGTCAAAGGCAATAATTTAGCACGAATGACGAGCTAGGCGGTCCTTCCATGTCAAGATGTTCCATTTATTTGGCGCAGGCAATTACCGTATATTAGAAGTATACATGCACATGCTATACACCGGCTTACATACTAATTAGCCTAACTGAACTTACTCACAAGTTGTCACACAATTCACTTTTTATTCAAAAAAAAAAAAAAAAGCACACAAATTACAAAAAAGACCTTTACATACCTCTCTGACGAAACATCATGGGAACCTTTTCCAGACAAGCTCGCTTCAGTAGGAGAAGCAACTTTGATGGTTTGGGTTTTGTAAGAAGGTTGTTGATTATTGACAAATGACATAAGCATGGAATCGGCTGCCACGTCGGAGGAAGACGCAAGAGAATGAGATTTCTTAATACTTTGTAAATGTTTCTCTTGCAACTCTTTCCTCAGTAAAAGTATTGATGACCGAGAGTGAGCATTACGGTGCTTCTTATTGCAGAGAGTGTATTTATGAGTTAAGGTAAATGCAAATAAAATGAAATAACTGCATACTCACACTAATCATGTTAACAATTTTCAGTTTTAACGAACAAAATAGCTATTGGTATTGAAAATTCAACTACAAACAGAAAATAGCTAGCATAGTTCAAAGGATATAATTAAAATACTCTCGTGTTGCATGATTACATGTGAAGCCATGTTTATGCCCACCTTCGTAGCACAAACGGGACAAATCTGCAAACAGAAGGAAATCTGGTTAAGATTCTAAAAAGAGTTTTCTTAATACTAACCTAACATCTAATAAAATCGCAAACATAAATCATTCTATAAGTTCCGTAGTACTAAAAGTGAAACACATAATTCCGTCTTTTCTTTTCCGTCCTGACGCTACTTATAATCAATAGGACCAAACTCTTGAATGCTACTTGTGAGTTTCTCTACGTGTCAACTAACTAATCAAACAAATAAACCTCAAAATACAATACAAACTCAAGAAAATTCCATAACTAATTCGACTAGGCTATTCTAAAACTAACGAAACGAAAAACACCCCTATAAGTACTCATAAATCGTTATGAACACCATCACTCTGTGTTAAAAAACGATGCAATACTATACTTAATTCTCAATTACTAGGGATTTATTGCAACTGCAAGTGCATATATACTAAAAATATGATTTAACTAAAAAGCACAAATAAATTAAAACAGAAAAAACGGATCTTTGTGAAATTACCCCGGGCTTAACCTCCATTCGGTGGTCGGCATCAATGTGGCAGCACAATCCAAGAACATCAAAATCCTCGAGGCAAAAGGGGCAAGCCAATTCTTCAAATTTCTCTTCAGTTTCCACATCGTTGACTTCTTCCCCCTCGTACTCTCCATCCGTTTCCTCTTCATCTTCATTATAATCATCTATGACAACACGAACACGTTTTTAAAAGAAGAATATCCAACAAATTAAATAAAAAAATTAATCAGCATAAGAAAACCTAGAAGGAAAAAACGAAAAAAGGCGAACAACGTATGGACTATGGAGACGCGTATACTAACCAATACTCGGTATGGAAAAGGAGGACAACGCAATTTCCAAATCGTTGTAAAATCGATCGCCCATCTCTTTTTTTTTTAATTTAATTAAAATAAATTATTGGTCGAACCTCTCCGAGAAATACACCGACGGAGATTTGTATGTATGTATGTATGTATGTATCGGAAAGAATTAAATTAAAAAGAAAAAAAAAAAGGGGGTGATGTAAAACTGGAGTAGGGTTTGTGGGATGGTTTTTCCTTTCTTCTGTAGCAGAGAGGAGAGGAGGAATATCCAGCAAACGGGAAAACGCCAATTTTTCTATTGTTGGAAAAATTCAACGAGTTTCCGGGTATGGTCGGCGAATTCGGGTATGGATAGTTGTAGATAGGATCCGATACTCGAGTACCCGTGTATGGACTCCCGCGTTATTTAATCAATTTCCCCCAATTTATTTTGTTGACCCGTTAACCCGTTTGGTTGATTGCGTCAATTGTCAATCTACTCGTATATTATTTATTTATTTATATATGATATACGTATAGATAGGTAATTTCCTAATTAAAAAACACTTGTCAAAAAAAAAATTAATTAGTGAATATTATAACTTGTTTGTATATTTTTCATCAAAATTGAAATAAAAATTACAAATCTAGTAAGTGACGATTTATTGTGCATGAAATTTGATTAGTAGTACTTTTTATTAACAGATTCTTATTAAGGCCCGAACTCAAAAGTTTGTACTCATAAGCACCAACGGAATTTCTTAATAAGGTAAAATTAATTAAAGCTCAACTACATGAAAAAGAATGAAGAATTTGACACTCATTACATACATTATACATATATCATATATATATACTAATGCATAATTAAAACGAAAATCAACAGAATGCAGCTAAAAACAGCAGAGACATGATTCAGCCTATGCCCCATGCTTGGAAGTATTGTCGGAAGCGAGCACTCTTCACCGTTGAAATAAACTTTCGTCGGAAATCCATCGCCACGTGGCACATTGATCCCCGGTGTTTTCTTCTTAACAAAAGATATAATCGACTGCATTGATCCGGGGACGCGCGGATCTTTCTTCGGGTTGGATCCATTTTTTTCCGCAATCAAATAATTACGACCCGGTAACCCCTGCAGAAAAAGCGTGTTGTTATGTTCGCCACTCATGACTTTCCCATCCATGGAGTACGCCTCTTCGAACCCCGGCATCGCCTCGTTCAGCTCGACCGCCGCGTACCAATCGACAACGTCCGTTTCGTCCCAATTGAAAAGCGTGATTCTCGCGGTCCACCCTTTTTTGTAATCCGAGAGCACGTGCCAGTTGATGCTGACCCCACAGTTGTCCCCGCATGGCAACGGGTTCGGAATCTCGCGCCTTTTGAGCCTCGCGAAAGTCTCCGCTAGTTTCGTCCTGTTCTCGAACGGGACCAGCAACGCCTCCGAAGGGAGGAGGAGTGCGGGTCCAGTCGCGCTGCACACGTTCTTCTCGTTCCTCGGGTCGACCCTATCGCACCCGCATGCACACGTATTGCACGGGACGACAGAGTCGTTGAAGAACGAGGAGAACGATACGCAACAATTGGGCTTTTTTGATTCGACGTGTGTTGTGTTGCAGACGACTTGCCAGGTGGCGACCGCGGACGTGTAGGAAGGGAGACCCGACGGGTCGGGGAATAGGGTCGGGTCGACCCTAATAGGTTGCGAGCATTGATAAGCCGGCCCGATTGTGGAGTTGATGTTCCAATTTATGGGAGGGGAGAGTTCGGTTTTGTTCAAATTTGGTGGCATTTTGTAGACTTGCATTAGAAAGGATGATTTGGATTTGCTCACATCCATCTTAGGTGATAAAATAGTCCCGTTACGACAGCAAAACGGGACTAATCCTAGGATTGTGTCGTTGGCTTTAGTAATCGGGAGATCGATTATTGTGGGCCTCGTTTCACAGGATAAAACCTTGGAGAAATCGAGGTCTTTGTAGAATTGGCCTTGCCTGCCGAATATGCAGTCACCGGAATCTACGATTTTAGGGTAAGCGCCTCTCATTGTACTTATGAACTCGCCTTCCGTCCAATCCCAGCTTAAGTTCCAATTTTCTAATCGTCCGAAGGAGTTGTTGTTCGTGATAGTGACTTGTGCCCAATAGTTACTTTCGTGCGTCACGGTCACATCGTACATAATTGTAACATCTCCGAACTGGAGAGGGGAGAAAGCTCCGTTAACCGATACGTTTGTTTTCGCGTTGGGATCGGGTACGCAACAAACACTCATGTGGTTACCTGCGTGAAACGGATAAAATTCTTAATCTATGTCGAGTTTCTTAATATGTGCGCAGTCACAAAAATCGACATATATAATATGGGACGAAAGGGCCTGTGATTTAATTACCTTGGGTTGTGAGATTAGGACACGAGTAGCCGTCGTTAGCGAGAACGAGATTATCCGGCAGAGGGACGTTCGGCGGGCCCACTCCGAACTGCGTGCCGACCAAATCCACCACGACACGCATCTGATCGATATTTCCGGCGGTTTCGATCGCCGTTTTGAGGTCGGTGAAGCCAGGGCTTCCGGAAAAGATGGTGCCGCCGCTGATGTTAGCCGGCAGGGTGGTGCCGTTAGCAAGGACGGCGTTGCTGGCTGAGACTAGAAGCTCGCCGTGGTCGAACCCTACAAAAACACGCCAGTTCTTGAGCTCGACCGGACCGTTGTTGAGAACGGTGAGATTGGACTCGAACCGGTAAGCCTGGTTGGTCGGATCGGCCGAAGAAATAATCGGCGGAATTTCTTTTCCAGTAACATAACTATAGGTGATAAGTATGCCGTTGCATAGAGAAGAATTAGTGATCGGAGCAGGTTGAGAAACAGAGGATTGGAATAATAAAGAAAAAATAGAGATACAGAGTACTGTAAGTATTATATGAGTAGCCATAATAATATTGCTTGAATCATCAAAATTAATATACAGAAAAATGGAGAATTATTTGTAGAGGGAATACTTAGAAGAAAATGAGTGATGAATGAATGGTTGTAAGTAAATATTAGCATAGAAAAAGATGTCTGAAAATTTCTAGTCGGAATCGAAATTGTAGTATAATAATTGGAGTGGCGTGCCGGCTTTTGTTTGAGTCAGTCTCTTTAACCATAGAACTAGTCTTATTATATATGGGAAATTTAAATCAAACTTTCAATTTTAGCAATTTACTATTCAAAATTTAATCAATCAAACTATGATGATGTCACAAATTTATTTATTAAATTTTAGTAGAGAAATAGTCAAATTCATTTTTGAGTAATATTATATATTTGCGTGTGAGCAAAGCCATCAAATTTACCAACCATTCATTAAATCAAGCCCAATTTAGAATTGATATTTTCAATTTGGGCCTCCATTAAATTACATCCTCAAAAGTTGGTCTGACACAATTAGGTATATTCTATTTAAGCCCATAGTTTTGTGACCAATAATTTTACTTTCCCCAAGGCCCATAAGATCTTGCTGTTTACTTTACATGAAATAATAATAAATAAATAAATAAAAGGTAGATAAAATATATATATTTAAATAAAATAATAATATGTAACTGGATTCTTTAAAATCATGTACTACTTTTGCCGAGGATTCAAAGTTTATTTACTCAGGTTATGTAATGATGCACACTGCGTATCACAATTTAATCATAACCAATTTATTTATTCTGTCTAAAGTAATATACGTTTTTTTAAATTATTAAATTATGCAAATCCCATATAATTATTTCTTTATTTTCTCATGCTACGTATTCAAATCTTCACCCTTTAACAATTCGACCGTTGAAAACTTTAAAGCTGTGTTTCCTTTTTCTTTTTTATTTCCTTTGTTGACTTTAGCCTCATAAAAATTAGTATTCAAAGGAAATATTTTACACGTCAGATGGGGACCACTTGTGGCCGTTTTAGATTTAACATGAACCGTTGATCTCCTCTCAATCGACGGTTCTAGTGACTCGACCGTTGGTTTCAAAATCCTTCATTAAAAGACACCAACGGACAGTACATGAAAAAATATTTCAAATTTCGAAACATAGCCCAGGTTTTCAACTCTGTAATAATATCGATTCTATTTCAAATTTCATATTCTTCGTTTCATGTGTTGATTCATCAATCTCCTGAATTCTCTCGATTCTGAGCTTTTCTTTTTTTTTTTTTTAACGAAAAAAAAATTCAGTAAAGAAAAAAAAAATGGTGAAAATGGCAACTAATTCTCCGACGTCATCTCCGGTGACAATCACCGTCACTTCCTCCGGCGGATCCCGTAGTATGGGATTGACCAGCCCGAAGCCTCGCCACTCACTTTCAAACAACGCGAATTCCCCCCTCAGCGGCGGCGAAAATCGCAGAGCTTCTACAAGCGGCGGCGGCGGGGGAAGATATCTTTCCTTCTCGAAAGAAAGCACCGACGAATTCGTAGCATACACCGTTCATATGCCTCCGACCCCCGATAATCGGGTTTTCACCGACTCTCAGACCAGCCCCCCTCTCGATTCGAGAGAAAAATTGGGGAAAAACCCTAACGATGGTTTCATCAAAGACACAATATTCACCGGCGGATTCAACTCCACAACGAAAGCCCACGTGATAAAAAGCACCGAAGGCGAGCCCGCGACATTGAAATCGAAAACCATCTGCGGAATGGACGGTTGCGATGAGAAAGCCGTGGTCGGAAAAATCAAGAAAAATCAATGTGAGTGTGGTTTCGGTATCTGCAGGGACTGTTACTTGGATTGTGTAGACAGTGGAGGAGGAAACTGCCCCGGTTGTAAAGAGCCGTATAAAGACGTAAGCGATTGCGACGAAGAACCGAGGTCCGACGAGGAGGAAGATCAGGCGAACCCACTGCCTTCTTGGGGGAGAGAAGTTAAATTGGAGAAGAATTTCTCACTTGTGCAGTCTTTCAAGAATCCAAACCACGAATTCGACCACACACGCTGGTTGTTCGAAACGAAGGGGACTTACGGGTATGGTAATGCTTTGTGGCCGAGAGAGGGCTACGAGTTCGGAAGAGGGAGCGAGAGATACGACAACCCTCCTGATTTTTCTGACAGAAGGAACAAACCTTTGACCCGAAAAATTGGCATTTCTGCAGCAATCATCAGTCCTTACAGGTAACTCACTCACACTGCCAATCTCTTCTTCGTTTCGATAGATGAATACGAATGATTGTTTTTTTGGAATTTTTATTGTTGCTTGCATTATTGTTTGATTAGACTATATCTAAAAGGAAGATTGGTTACGTAAAATAAGGGTTTTTGAATGATGTTTGTATGAGATTGTTTTCGGAGCTTTCGAAAAGTTAAAAGAAGGTGTTGTTATGCAGGTTGTTGATTGTTCTTCGTCTAGGGGTTCTGTGTTGCTTTCTAGCATGGAGAATAATGCACCCAAATCACGAAGCAATGTGGTTATGGATGATGTCCGTAATCTGCGAAATCTGGTTCGCGTATTCATGGATTCTCGATCAACTCCCGAAGCTCTGCCCCGTTAAAAGGGTCACCGATCTCTCTGTTCTCAAAGAGAGATTCGAATCCTCGGAACCAAATCTACGAAACCCTAAAAAATTCTCCGATCTTCCAGGGATAGATGTCTTCGTTTCCACAGCTGATGCGGACAAAGAACCGCCACTCGTCACAGCGAACACAGTTCTTTCGATTCTCGCAGTCGATTATCCGGTCGAAAAAGTTTCTTGCTATATATCGGACGATGGTGGCTCGTTAGTGACATTCGAAGCTCTAGCAGAGGCCGCTAGCTTCGCGAGAACGTGGGTCCCGTTCTGCAGAAAGCACAAGATCGAACCGAGGAATCCCGAGGCCTACTTTGGTCAGAAGCGGGACCCTCTGAAGAACAAAGTCCGTCTCGATTTTGTTAAGGATAGGCGGAGGGTTAAGAGGGAGTACGACGAATTCAAAGTGAGGATCAACGCTTTGCCGGATTCGATTAGGCGAAGATCAGATGCTTACAACGCTCAAACCGAGATTAGGGCTAAGAAGAAACAAATGGAACTCGGGATAAACAACAATATTAATAATCCATCGGAAACAGTTAAAATCCCGAAAGCTACGTGGATGTCTGATGGAAGCCATTGGCATGGAACTTGGTCTTCTGCAGAGGAAGGTCACTCCAAAGGTGATCATGCAGGAATTATACAGGTAATAATAATATCGTTTTTCGAAATATCGATTATTTTGGCTAATCGTTTTTAATAATATTATATTGTTATGTTTTGTAGATAATGTTAGTCCCAGCTAGCCCCGAGCCGTTTTTCGGGCAAGAAGCGGACGAAGAAAACTTGATGGACACTACAGAAGTGGATATCCGATTGCCTATGCTAGTTTACGTATCCCGAGAAAAACGGCCAGGTTTTGATCACAACAAGAAAGCCGGCGCAATGAATGCATTAGTTCGAGCAAGTGCGATAATGTCAAACGGTGCATTCATTCTCAATCTCGATTGTGACCACTACATTTACAACTCTTCGGCAATGAGGGAAGGCATGTGCTTTATGCTAGACCGAGGAGGCGACAAAATTTGCTATGTTCAGTTCCCTCAGAGATTCGAAGGAATCGATCCGAACGACCGTTATGCTAATCACAATACCGTCTTCTTCGATGTCAGCATGAGAGCTCTCGACGGATTGCAAGGTCCGATGTACGTGGGAACGGGCTGCATTTTCCGAAGAATCGCTATTTACGGTTTTAGCCCTCCTATTACAACCGAGCACAACGGTTGGTTCGGCAGAAAGAAATCAAAAAAGCTTCTCAGGAGAAAATCGAAGAATGTCCCGGAAGAAGATGACGAAATGCTTCTCCCAATAAATGGTGATAATTACGAAGACGACGATGCACACAGAGCCACATTGGCGAAGCAATTCGGAAACTCTGTTTCTCTGATAGACTCTATCGCTGTGGCTGAATTCGGAGGGAGGCTACTTCACGAGCTGAGAGGGAAAGGGTGCTTAGGTAGGCCAGCTGGATCGTTAGCCGTTCAACGAGAGCCATTGGATCATTCGGCCTTGTCAGAATCTGTGAGCGTAATCACCTGCTTCTACGAGGATAAAACCGAGTGGGGTAAAAGGGTAGGCTGGATTTACGGGTCCGTGACGGAAGACGTTGTCACAGGCTACAGAATGCACAATCGAGGGTGGAGATCTGTTTACTGCGTCACCAAACGTGACGCCTTCAGAGGAACTGCTCCGATTAACCTAACCGATCGTTTGAACCAAGTCCTCCGTTGGGCGACGGGGTCCGTTGAAATTTTCTTCTCGAGAAACAACGCTCTATTCGCAAGCCCAAGGATGAAGTTTCTTCAAAGGGTGGCATATTTCAACGTCGGAATATACCCCTTTACGTCGGTCTTTTTACTCGTGTACTGCCTTCTCCCCGCGTTATCTCTCTTCTCGGGCAAATTCATCGTCCAATCGTTGGATATCACGTTCTTGATTTTACTACTCTCGATTACGCTTACACTATGCATGCTTGCATTACTGGAGATTAAGTGGTCGGGAATTACGTTACATGATTGGTGGAGGAACGAGCAGTTTTGGTTGATAGGCGGCACAAGTGCACATCCGGCAGCGGTTATTCAAGGGCTCCTGAAGGTGATTGCTGGCATTGATATATCGTTCACGTTGACTTCGAAGTCAACGGGGGCGGAGGAAGGGGAGGAGGAGTATGCTGAGCTGTACGAGTTCAGGTGGACGATGCTTATGGTGCCTCCGATTGTGATAATAATGCTGAATGTGGTCGGGATCGGGGTGGCGGTTTCGAGGACTGTGTATAGTCCGTTCCCCGAGTGGAGTAAGCTTATGGGAGGTGTGTTCTTTAGCTTTTGGGTGCTTTCCCATTTGTACCCTTTCGCCAAGGGTATGATGGGGAGAAAGGGGAAGATTCCGACCATTGTTTATTTGTGGTCGGGGTTGATTTGCATTGTCATTTCTTTGCTTACCGTGTTCGTGTACCCTCCCGTGGGAAGCTTGAGGTACGAGATTCCTTGATTAATATGGCCCCGGCCCGGCATTTCTTTCTCAATGCGTGTTTTTTGTTATGGTTTTTCATTAACATTTTGTTGTTGGATGATATATGTTTGTAGTTGTCTTTATTGTTTTTACTTTTGGAATGAATTGAACTGGGAGATTCTGTAGAATGTGAATTTTAATGCAAAATTGTTTACTCTTTGAACTTTGAATGGAGTTTGTTTACGATATTTACTTCAATTGGGAGATTGGGATTGGGATGAACCCCCAACCCAAAAAAAAAATGACAAATAATAATAAAAAAAAGAATTGAAAACTGAATTGGGTTCAAGGTGTAAAAAATTGAGACATAAAATATCTATATTATCAAGAGTCCAAATATGTAAAAAGGGGGGCCACGAATTTTGTGAATTGGTCCCAAAATATTGAAAATGGCTTTAATTGAAATATGGCTATTTAGTTGTAGCTGTAAAGTTTTGGGGTATGTGAAATAATAGTGGTTTTTAAGGGCTTGTGTGTATTTGTTCCTATCCAGAAAGACCAAAGGGGCACATGCTAAAACGACAGCCAGTTGGACGGTTTTCAGTACTTTTTCCTGCTGCTGCCCTTTGTCAACATCTCTCATTGGACGATAGTTTTTCTTAACAACACAAATTGAGTTCAAGTAATTTAATTAATCTAAGTATCTGCACTCACTGCACATAATAATAACAATTATTATTATATATTATATATTATGTTTATGTTAATCAGTTTATAATGGGAATGCAGTACTATCCATATGAATCAACTACCCTTTCTCTCTCTAAGGCCTAAGCAGCAGCGCTTAGGCTTAACTTAACAGATCAGATGATTCTTTACTTAATTATTAAAAGAAAAGCACGTTAAAAAAATGCAGCATCAATTTTGAAACAGATCGTGCACGGGTTTACCGTTGGCCTTTCCATCTTCCACGTCATCCTTCTAGAATCTTCTAAATAAATTTAATTCATCTTGTTAATTAAATAATTACATAGGGCTAGTGTCAGATACCCAGTCACAATCACCATTGCTTTATACGTATAAAATACCAATAAAAATTTCCAGCTTATTCATTAAATTAAGAAATTAAACAAGAAAATTGATGGAAACTAAAACAGTCCAAATTAGGATTAATTATTGGTAATTAGTATATTAAATAAAGGTGGGTGAAGCTGAAGCTGGCCACGTGTGGTGCCAGGACACAGGGAATCGGGCTATCTTTTTCAATACTTTTAGACACGCAGTAAAATATGGGCCCGGATGCCCCAATACACTATTACCACACACACTCATGTATATCAATTTTTATACACATTATTATTATTATTAATGCATAAATTATTATATAATAGTATAACTTAGTCATACAAAACCTAGCAAAGAAACAGATCAATAACTAATCGCCAATTAAGTGGGGTGAAAACAAGAATTATTGTTACTAACTGACTTTTAAAGAGTCTCTACCACATCCTTTTACAAAAGGACAGAAAGAAAAAAAACAAAAAAAAAAAGGGTAAATTCCACTTTACCCCCTTGTACTCTGCCCAAGAACCACTTTACCCCCTCGTACTCTTAATTTTGTCGATTTACCCCTTGTACTTGTACAATGTGCCAATACAACCCTCTTTGTCAACTTTTTTCGATTTTGACTCTGACGCCATTTGGTCAAGAGTCAAAATATTGACGTAAATACTGAATTTTATCGATTTTGACTCTCGAGATTAGAAAAGAGAAAGTTTCACACATTCATATGTTTTTTTCTTTGCACTGTGAGGAATCGATCAATTTTTGGGTCTTGATTTTTACTAAGTTAGGTGTTCAATTTGGGGATATCTTGGAAGTGGAAGTGGTGAGAGAAGTAGAAATGACAATATTGACGGAGGAGAAACGATGCGTTATAGGCAGTGGCAATTTTGTAATTTACAGAGTTGATCAAACGGCGTCAGAGTCAAAATTGACAAAAGTTGAAGGAAAGGACTATATTGGGAAATTGTACAAGTACAAGGGGGTAAATCCGTAAAATTGAGAGTACGAGGGGGTAAAGTAACTCTCAGGCAGAGTACGAGGGGGTAAAGTGGAATTTACCCAAAAAAAAAAGATTAATAGAAGGGAGATAGATGACAGCTCACAAGAAACCCAACAATATATATATACATATAACTGTATTAGAAATGAATCCCGTGGACTTTGCAATATATAAACGTGATCACAACAAACCACTAATTAAAATACCCTCCTCCAACCATAGGTCGAAACACACCTAATTAACAAAAACTCCCTACTTTTAAGTAATTAAACCCCTAACCATCAAGAAATGCACATTTTTCCTACATAAGCACTCTTCAAGGTGACTTGCAATTAGATTCTTCATTTATATAAGTTGACTTGGGATTCGAATATTAAAAACAATAAAATGATGAAAGTAATGGAATACAACTAACAACAAAGAAAGCACACAGAGTTACTTTAGAGAGAGAGAGAGAGAGAGAGAGAGAGAGAGAGAGAGAGAGGGAGAGCATACCTTTCTCTCTTCACCACCAACAAATGAGGGCCAACCTACCCAGAACATGTTGCATATTTTCCACAAACTAAAAAATGTTGCAATACTGTTTTAAATATATAAACAAAACTAAAATCCACATAATCATCAATGGGACCCACCCACTAAGTTCTATTTCCCCACCAAAATAAACATATACGTATGGCATACTGGTTTTTGTTTTGCCCAAAAACAATAAGGAAATATGAGAAATTACTAAACTAGGACGCAAGTAGGCCGACAGCATCGAGGGTTCTTACATTTTGCATTACGTTTGAGTTCAAGCTGTATCTATCTAGGTGCAATTTCGTCATTTTCCCAACTCCAAAAATTCACAGCCCATTTCTTGAATAAGACTAATTTATTTAACATTTTTATTATTATAATTATTGTCGGTACTGCACTCTGCATATCTTTTTCCATTATTTAATTTCAAACATGTAAGCAACAAAACATAGAAAATAATATACAGCAACAATGATGAACAATGCCAGAGAGACAACCCACACAACTGAATATATATCATATCCTTCTTTTTACTTTATTTTTATTTTCAAGAGAGAGAAAGTAAATGGAATAAGAGTACAAATCGATCATGACATGTAATGATTTTAATCAACAAAAAACAATGTCTACAAGAAGGAATCCGAATTCATCATCAAACTAAATGGAATTAAAAAAAAAAAACTATAATCGAAGATGGTGAAAAATAAAATGAAATTATAGGAGGGTAAAAAAAAATCACGAGCAGAGGTACAAAAAAAAAGTGAACAGTAGTAGCTGAAAGAATTTACCGGCGGAGGAAACAAAAAAAAGAATAATATCACGTCGACTGACCATACAAATCGAACGGGGCCCACAACGAGTCGAGCGGGCACGGCTGCTTCGAGTCGAGCCGAAGCCACGGCTTGCCGCTGCCGCTCCAGTGGAGCAAGCTCACCGGACCGGCGTGGAGGTCCCTGCAGCTACCACGCACATTATCCCCACCCAATCCATGTTGATTCCACCTGTGTTCGATCGGCGCCACGTGTCCGGCGAACACCAGTAAATACGGCGGCAGCGAGCCCAGCTCGTATATCCGGCTCAGGCTTGTCTTCTGCGTCTCCATCCACTGCTCAATGCGGCGCGTGTAACCGAACCGCCTCCACTTGTCCAGATCTATCACCATCACCCCGGTGTTAAAATAGCACGGGCTCCGGCTGGAGAACACGCCGGCGTATCGAGGATCCGCCCAGAAATGCTCCGTGAAATATTTAGTGAAGTTTGCGTGGCAATACTCCGGCGCGCCGATTGTCTTCTTCCCCAAGCTTGTACTCCAGAGCTTTGATATGTCATCGACCACAACCAGATCGGAATCCAAGTAGATAACCCTAGTCACACAGTTTTCTAGAAGATCCCCTAAATAATTCCGGGCGTAATTCAACGGCTGTTCAAGCGCCTGCCTGACGGAGCTCGAAATCAGACTCCGCACTCTTTCCGGGTCGAAGAAATACACTTTAAACTTCAATTCAGGGAAAGTGGATCGGACTAGGGTTTCGAGATTCGTTTCCGAAACCAGGAAATGGAAAAACACGCTCTCAGGACACTTGGAATGCTGGAGAATCGAATGGACGGCGGCGATTGAGCCACGTAGGTATTCGCCGTCGAGAGTAATCGCAACGTGAACCAGAGACGGATCGCAGACGCTGGGCTTGTCCGATTTCGACGGGCGGCACTCGCCGGCATTGCGGAAGGCCGGGGCTCGACGGAAGGAGAATTTGTCGAATAAAATTGGGGATGTGGGGAATCTGAGATATGAATCTACCTGAGAAGATCTAATTGCCTCCGCCGGATGAAAGGATTGAAGAGAAGGGGAGAGCACAATCATCACCATCGCCGCAGAGAAAAACCCCGAAAATCTCATTATCCACAACATTTTCGTACCTCTGTAGAAGAGTTTCTGCTTTCTCTTCCTCGATTTCAAATACAAACAATCCGATGAAACCGACGAGATGAGGAACGCTAGGGTTCCTCTGAGGTCCGCCAGAGTTTGGTGCGAGAAAACCACAATTAATTATAACAATAATAATAAAATAAAAAAAAGGATAAAATTGAATAATATTCGAAATCCCAATGGGCAAATTGTGCTTTGCTTTTTTAATTTTTTTTCTGCAAATCCTTATATATCTCTAATGGTGGTATGCCGTGGGAACGAAGCGATTTTCGATGGGAGAGAGAGTGTGTATAAAGAAATACTCAGCCCATAAACAGAAATGGGAAAGTTGAAAGGTTAATAAGAACAAATAAGGGCTTGATTAACATATGCGCCGACGTGCGCTGCAGTCACTCACACCCCCCCTCTCTCTCTCTCTCCTCTTTCTCTCTCTTCGTTGGAGAAGAAAGGTGATAAGCAATACACAGAATTATACACCAGTATAGAGAGAGAGAGTTTTCGGAGGGTTTTTTTTTTTTTTTTATCCTTTTCCTTTTTTTTTTACTTTTTGTTATAGTTTGTTGGGTTTTCCCCACCACCAGCAAAATACACTGCCAAAAGTCCAAAACATTTTTGTAACAAATAAATTAAATTAAATAATTCATTATTATATTAAAAAAAGTTAATAATTGTTAAAATGTGTGATAAATAGAAAAGCCAGCTGTGTTGTCTTCTGGGGCGATGACAACTTGGCCTTCCAACACGTCCATAATCCATACAAGTAACACACACTCCCGCACTGTACACATGGGCTTTTACATACATCATCTTCTACACTCTTTTCGTTTTTTTTTTTTTTTTTTTTTTTTCTAATGTAAAAGAAATTAGAGGAATATTTGATGAAGTTCAATTGCAACTGAAACTCTAATTGAATTTGTATTGTTCTTATCCTTTTGGTAGTTTTTCAAATCCAAAATAAACATTTTATTTAATTTAAATGTTTATAATTAACCTATTACCATTTGATTGCGTAAGCAGGATGCATGTTCAATAATTGGCACATGCCACATAGTTATACGCAAACATTATAATTAAACCGACTTATAATTGTTTGTTAAATCCGTATTATATATTTTACATAAATTACGCAAATCGTTCTTATCAATAATTATCAAATAGCTTGTGAAATCGTTAAATGGATCCATAGTATGATAGTATTTAAACCGAATTAATTGGGATGTGACATAATTTTGTAGAATATTTGATACTCTAGTTCATAATGGTGCGAATATTTGGTGTGTGAAAGTAAATCTTTGAGACCTTGTTGTATTCATTGGAAAATAAAATTACATCCGAAATCATTAACTAATAGTTATTTTTTTCGTCCATATTTAGGTTTAGGATTATATCGTTTTGTAGATATTATATTCCATGAGATATATCAGGTAATCTACACATATAATAATCCACATATTCATGTGTATGTATACTTAACCGATAATTATTTGTATAGATCGAGTTATATTGATAAATTCTCAATTTAAATGTTTTATTGGCAAAATGGGCTTATCTCCAATTTAAAGTCCATTTTCAACTACTGGGCTTGTACATACATATTAGAATATTATTATTATTATCTTTTTTAATTAACTGAAATGCTAAATCCCACACTAATTTTACTAAATCATGTACATAACTAAAAATATTTATCTCTCTAAATATTCTCATCTCCTTCACCATCCTTCTTTTTTTACCCGACCTTTTTAACAAAATCACACACTAAAAACATCCCTAGCATTTCAAGTTCAAATTTGACAAAAATCTTCACATGTTCGAACTAAAATAAAGTTGGAATTTGAGGAAAAAATTAGAATTGATATGAATTTGAATAATTAAAAATGTTTAATGAAATTGAAGAAATATTAAATAAAATGAATAATTTTTATAATTATTCACGTAAAAAATTAATGAATTTTGAGTGATTTGTATAAAATCATTTTACGGAGAGTGAATATGAGTAGAAAGAATTTTTTTTAATTTATATATAGGATTTAATAAATTTTATTGTGAAATTTAAGCCAATCGCTTTAATTAAACATAAAGATCATACATTAATTCACAAATCACAAGTAAGGACAAGAGGAGAAAAAGATCAAGAGCTAACAAAGATCTAAATAATCAGCAAATAAATGGGGTGTACTAATGATCGTGAGACTGATGCAACCCCTGACCAGTAAGATACTGACACGTGGATGATTTTTATGTCACTTCAAATAGTACAAAAACAGAGCTATACCGTAGGTATACATACGGTGGGACCTCCTCCAAAAAAAAAAAAAGAAACTAATGGCTAATAGAAAATGGCATCGTGAAAGGTGTTCCTCGTTCCGTACAAGAACCTCCACCGTTGCCAGCCTGGCCTCCACCACACTTATACTATTCCAATTCTTTCGAAACTTGTGCTACATTTCATTCACATATAATTATAAATTATAAATTAAAAAATAAAAATTATAAATAAAAAATATCCGATCCATATGAGTGTTTAGCTCTTTAATTTTCATCAATCAATTTTCTAGTGAACTACGAAATATATTTAAAATTAGTTTGTAATTACAATAATTGATGAATTTCTTTGCACGGTGGCCTATAATAAATAATAATACTCCATCTACACGGTATTAAAAATAGATATTACTCCAAATCATAAAGCAAAATGTAAAGTTACTTCAAATCAATCCATGATTTCAAATAAATAAAAGCAATAAAAATAAGTAAATAAATTAAAAATATAATTCAATGATTTGGAGCTGATGCACCTGACCTATACACATGAGAATTTTGCGTACTAGATGGAGATCATGTTAACATGTTATTATCAAACACTCGTGAGTTGTCTTTTTTCTTTCTTCTTTTTTTTTTTTAAATTTAACGTGGTAGGCAAAATTTGACCCTTATTTTTTCTTAATTAGTATATTTCTCATGGTCCATTATATTACTCGAGAGTTGTCTTTGTTTGCCACTTTGGCAGGCAATTTGTTTAGGCTGCAAATCTAGACTAGGGTTTATAGAATACTATGTTAGATCGAATAGATTTTTACTGTTTATCTACTGACAAATGACACATGTGTGTAGATCAATGGTTAAAAAAAATACTCGGTGTAACGTGAAAATAACCCCTAGATTGCAGATGTTGCATGTATAAAGTCAGAGTAAGATAAGTAAATGTTTAGAGCTACTAAAAATGGGATGTATTGTTGTAGTATGAATGAGTTAGAATATTTTTTTATTAAAACAAGACATATATTGTCTTTATTCCTAATTAACAAAAAAATTATTCTTACCAAAAAATTAGTAACAAAATCCCCCATAAATAGTTATTAGAGGAAATAAATGAGGCCCAAAACAATTCATTTGAGGGGTAATAAATAAATGAAAGCCCGAAATATAGAGTTTATAGGCCACGGCCCAACAAAAAGTTTATAATAAGTTTGCTCCATTAATATTTTCATAATATTTAATTTGGTCTGGCCCAATAAAACTTTTAGCGCCAATATTGGTATAACAGTCCATATGTTTGCTCGGAACATTTCTCTGTCAATTCATTTATTTCTGATCAATTGATCATAACACAAATGATATTCTTAATTCTTTTATAAATTAGGAGTGGGCCCCAACACAACTGCTAAGATTTACGAACATTTTTTGTTCGAATTACATCGTTTTTTATACGAAGTCGCAATTAGAAACTATAATAAAAGCCTCCTGCCATTTTTGGTTGTCCAAAATCTCGACGCTTTTGCAATCAAAACGACAAACGCGACAATAGTAAAAAAAAATATAATAAATAAAATTGATCAGAATCTTTTGTTGTTTAATAATAAAATTGTTGGCAGAATTAAAAGAAGGACCAAATTGTGGTCACATAAAATGAATTAATATGCATGAATAGTTGACTTAAATACATGTCCCAACCTAAGGATTCGGCGGCATTAAACACCACATGATGTGATTGATGCCTTCCCCACCTATTTAAGCCTTTGTAGCAATATTTATCGTATGTATGCCAACCCCAACCAATTACTAACAAATTCATTCGTATCACCTTCATCTTTCACATATTAAGTACTTATATTGTCAATTTCGTTTTTGGTCCTCATTTATATCACCATCTTCTTAGTATTATTGTTTTATCCATTCAAATAACATAATTTATTTTTTCTATATATATAATTAAATGAAATTCAATAATTTATGGGGCCAATTCGACATCCCTAATCCAATTTCAATTTGTACAACATTTTGCCATTGGTATTGGACTAAGGTAAAAAACCTAGAAAGTGACAGTTTAACAGAACGATCCAGCATTTTTACCTGCTAATAGAAATAACTAGATAGTACAATTGCTCCAGAAATTTCTTCTACAGCTTACCAGTACTCCTGATGCTACGTCGTTTTACAGAGTTACATACTTTCTTACAACATTCACAAGTCCAAGTGGGGAAAGGTGAAGTTATACAAATGGTGATATCACTGGATTCAGCATACCACCACCTTATCACACCATTAAATTATCATTTTAATAATAAAAATAAAATAAATAAATACTAATTGTCGGTTTCTTCTAATTAATTAGCGGCAAAAGGGGAAAGAAATTAAGAACACGAGAATGAGTAATTCATCGGTTCGCAGATCTACTGAATTAGTAAGTATTATAATTAATAACAATAGATTCGTTGCAGAGAAAACGTGAATACGGATAAACTGGAATTGAGATTTTAATTTTATTGATCCGATTGAGTGGAAATCGAAATATAAACAGCACAGCTAATTAGTAATTAATCAATTTGTGGATAAATTAATTACCGTCGGCAGGTAATTTCGGAGCCGATCCACGCTGCGTCGCGGGGCACGATTTGCCCCTGCGCCATCACAATTGATTTGTAGATCTCCACAATCATCCGCTCGTCGTACTCTTTCACCGGCCTCGCTCCGAATCCGGCCACTCCATCGCCACCGTATCCGCCGCCAGCCACCCGCGTGTTCGCAATTCTCAACATCATGTTAACGTACGCATCTCGCAAGCCGAGCAAAAACTTCTTCGGTGAGAAGCGGAGCTTCAGCTTCAGCCGCCGCGTCAGCTTGATCCGCCAGAAACGACGGCGTCGAGTCGAGCCCTCGGCGGCGGAAGCTAGCTCCACCGTCCGCGTTTTCCGCTTCCGGCCGGCGGCGTTCAGCCGCACGTAGCCTTTCCTCCGCCAGTATCCTTTGATTCCTTTGTATACGGTGGCTGAAACCCCTTCCATCTCCGCTTCCTTCGCTCCTGTAGGCTCAATTAAGTTTGAATTACTGGTACAGATTATAAAATAGTGGGGAGAAATGGGAAATTGATGTTGAGATAGATATACGGAAACAGGTGGGAGTTTGGGGAAGAAGGGGGCGGAGTGTTGGTTATATTAATAGGCAGGAGGGTGGGGGGATAGTGGTGGTGAGCCAATTAATGCTCTGTGTGCGCTTTCATTTTCCTTTTCTCTATATCTACGGAAAACATAATTACCACGGAAATTATTTTATGTCCTTTCCTGGAAATTGGATTATAACTCTTTACTTTTATCCATTCTTTTTTCTTACTTGACATTTTTTAGATTTGTATATATATATTTTTTGAATTCTGAAAATTTAATTCTTATCCAATTTCAAATTTAAAAATAAATTTGCAGAATTTGAGATTTTTTTAGGCACAAATACATCAATATTTTTTTATTTTAGATTACGTTGTTCTATTTGAATTTACAAGATTTTAATATTTTTTTTCTTTTTTCGATGGATTGTCAACATGAAAATACATATTATAATTTTCTATGCTACGCCCGATAAAAGGGTTACATCCGGTTGATTCTTATCGTTGATCTACCCATTAATACCGATTTCTATGTATATGTGCTTAAGAATAACAAAGATTTACTCAATGTATTTCACACGATGTAACAATACGTAAACTCAAATTGAGAATTGATAGTGATACCCCATCAATTAATGGAACATCCAAGATGCATGAACATGACGCAGCAACTCTACAGATCACCAATTAAAAATCATGTACATGGTTAATCAATTTTATCGGATGGTTCAATAGGACACGCATTAAAAATAATGAATAAGAAGTTGTTCTGTAAATATAATTGCATGTTACCGGATCTTGGGGTAAGATATAGTACATACATATAAATACAGTTGTCAAACAATTAAATTCATCATACAACATTATCAATTGCAACCCCAATAACACCACAAAATATGGTACTACTGCATTCAACGTGCAATAGATTGAACAGTTTTCACACCCAAATCTGATTTTTTTTTTTTTTTGAGAAAGCATTAATATTCATCTTTGTTATAAATAATTTTGTATTTGGTGATTACTCAACATATTTAATCAAGTAATTCTCATTAAACATGAGTTCATACACACAACAGATTGAAACACGAGTTCATAAAAGCAAGAAAATTGCATAACTGAACAAACAAATCTTAGTTTAAAAAAAAAAACAATTCCCAATTCATAAATTGCACTTCAATTATTTTTTAGCTTTCTTCGCAGATCTTAAACCCGATTTCAGTGAATTAGGACCCTGCTTCCTCTTTACCGGAGTTGCAGCCTTGCTCTTCTTCATTTTCTCTACACCAGCAGATCCTCTTTTCGACGTCATTTTGACCTTCTTCAAACCCTCCGGCGTTTTAACCTGGCTCAATCTCTTCGTCTTCTTCGCTTTCTCCACTGTTTTTTTTGCAGCTTTCGCCTTTTTATCGGTAATTTTCACAGCTGCTTCAGTTGAAGAAGGATTGGAGGATCTTTTGACCTTCTCAACAGTAGGAATTTTGTAGGAGTTTTTAATTTTAACTAGCTTCTCAGATTTCACGAACCTTTTCAATTGAATCGAGAGAATTTTCCTGAAAGTTGTGGGAAGCAATTTTTCGTAGTTTTCCTCGATGAATTTCGCGATTGCAGGTTGGCTCGAACCGGTACGATCCTTTATTGCGGTAATTGCTTCGCTTATCATCTGGTAAAATAATAAATTAGTTGTCATATTAATCTGTAAATGAGTGAAAATGAAGAAGAGAGAGAAAATTAGGGCAACCTGTAAATATGGTGGATGAAGAGATGAAGCGGATGAACCGGTAGTCTTTGCCGTGGAATCATTCTTTGAAATCGCCATGATTTTTATTTTCTTGTGGATTGGAGAATTGTATTTACTTTTTAGAAGAGGAGAAAATGTAAATAATGGAGGTTAAAATGTTAATAATCCATCCATCCATGTATACGAAATTTCAAATTTCAAATATTTTTTAGGCGGAAAAGTTAAATTTTGAGGACAGTGATATTTTGGCCTTCGTTTGTGTATAGTTTCCCGCCAGAAAATTCGGTGAGTTAATAATAACTTGCACGTGTGGAGAGGATAAGATGAAATCTTGTCACGTACTGGAACTGTGACAATTGGGCATGAGTTAACATCCCATTTCGAATTGGAAGCTTTTATATTACTGGACCATCAACCCATATTTTTTGAGAAACAAAAGGACTTTTATTTATTTATTTATTAAAAATAATAATATTTAATTAAATTAATGATAAATAAAACTGAAGCTTATTACTACTCAATGGATTAATACACTTCCATTTAATAGTCATTATATACTAACTTATTGATGAGCATCATACTTAAATTAAAGTATCAATTTTTATAATGAAATATGTGCAAACTGAATTTGTTTTTTGGGTTGCCGGGCTGGTTATTAAGACCTCATTAATTGTCGGCAATTAATTGTGGAATCTCCACTAAGCATCCTTTTATGCGCCACTTTTTGCTTCATATATATTTTTTATATATCAATTGTCTATACATCTTATTGCAGCTATACATTCCACGTGCATTGCTTCTCACAATTATGAACTTTGTTCAGTTGGGCTTATCATACAAGTAGTGATGGAAATTTAACAAAAGAAAATTGTCCTTTAACTTATTGCGTTTCTACTACCTGGAATTTATTGCTTGCTATTCAAATTTAGGTTGTTGCCCCTTTATTGAAAAAAATACAAATAATGTATTATTTGAATTTTAATAAAGTCACAAATAATCTTAAATGATTTTTTTTTTAATCTCGCAACAAATATTTAGGTCTCGAAACGAGTATTTAGTGGTATAAATTTTAATGGGCATATATATAAGGTTCATAAATTGGGGTCATAAACATGTCACATTTGATGAAATAAATTAAAAAGAAATTGAACTCTGATTTATGGAAAATATGACCCATAACTAGGTCATTGTAATTAAACGGGCCGAGTGATCTTTTGTCAAGCCCAAAATCCAGTGGAAAATGGTTTCGGGCCCGTTAAGTGTCCAGGCCGAAAATAAAAATAATTTTAGTACCAAACGGTAACAAAACAAATAATATAGAATATACAAATAAGTCAATTCCAAGGAAGAAATTATAAATATTAAAGCCGACATGGCAATAATATATATATATATATATATATATATATATATATATATATATTAATTAATTAATTTTTGGTACAATCGATAATGGTGTAGCGTAGAAGATAAAAAATGGAAGGGATGGGAGCGGCTATCAATACACATGCACCACATCCCCATTCTTCTCTTCATTTTTTTCTCTCATATCTTTTCCACCAAATAACCGAATCATACTTTTATTATTATTATTTAATTTAATAATTAATATATCAAACAAAATTAATTATTTTTCTTACATATATCTCCACTCTCTCCTTTTATATAAACACTGCTAACTCTTCACTCCACCAACCTTTTTTCTTTCTCAATAATTTCAAGAATGGCTATTCTTTTTTTCTTTTTCTTTTTATTTATTTCCACATTTTTGTGTGAATTCTCTCTCGCTATGACCACAATTTCAGCAGTTACGAAAGACCAGATTGCCTGCACAATGTGCTCTTCTTGTGACAACCCCTGCCAACCAATTTTCTCGCCGCCTCCACCGCCGCCGCAGCAAGTGCCTTCCCCTCCGCCACCGTCTCCGCCGCCTCCGGCGGGGCTCGACTGCCCACCTCCACCTTCACCCCCCAGTGGGGGAGGCGGTGTGTACTACTTCTCGCCACCTCCTCCGATGCAGCAATCCTACTATTACCCACCACCGTACGGAGGCGGCGGTGGCGGCGGCGCGTACAATCCACCGTCTTACGGATATCTCACACCGCCGCCGAACCCGATTGTGTCGTATTTCCCTTACTACTACTACAATACTCCACCGGGTTCTCCTCGCCCAGATAACTCGCTTTCCGTGCAATTCAAAAGCCACCCTTTAATTTCTTTTCTATTTATCATACTTTGTACTTTCTTCTCACTCTAATTTTAATTCCGACAACTAAAAATTAACGTATCTATACATATATATTATTATTATATTATTATCTACTGTTTTTTTTTTCTTTTTTTCGCAACTTAATCATAATTGTCAGGTCAATTTAAAACATGGGCAGCAAAAGATTTATGGCTTTCAGCAAGAAAAAGAGAACAGTGGCCAAGGAGAAAATTACTGGTATGAAATGAAGGAATGCTGATTGAAGTGAAAATACCAAAGTGACCCTTCTAGAGTATTCATTATTTTGGTAGAATAATAATAGTCCGTCACATTATATTGTAGCTAAAGTTTTATTGTCCATAGTACTAGTTTCAATAATTGTCGTTTGTATTTAAACATGTGCATTTCATTTCTAATTAAACAATTACACAATTTTGATATTTTCATCTCAATTGTTTTTGCAATTAGCACAAATTTTACAATAAGTTGATATTAAAATATTAATTAACGGTAGCGATGTGAAATAAATTGAATTTTGTACAGCATAGTGCAGGTTGTAGTATAAAGTTAGGAAAGATGAATAATTATGGTAGTGGTCGGTCTGAAAATTGGTAGATTGTTTGTAAAAGGAGGTGGTGAGTGGGGGCCACGCGCAGGGGAGGTGGGCGGAGGGGCTGGATGGCACTATGGGAACGTGTGGTTGATAGTTGGGTATTAATATTAGGATTGGCACTTGGCAGCATAGAGATTCGTTTTTTGGCCTTTAATATGTGCTGTTGCACATGCACACTCTTTGTTTTTATGTGACAATTTTGTATTTTACATTAAATATTTCATTTTTATAGGGCTTATGTTTGAAAATATAAGTAAACACTCGTGTTAAAGAAGCAAGCAATATTGAACTACGAAACAAATCTTTGAAGTTGTGATTTATATGCCTATAGAAATCAGTTGATCTAAGTTGTAACAGTTAAGTTGTGGAAACAGTATTTAGTTACAACTGTAAATCTTGTGTTGGCACAGTTATATTCTACTTAAAGTAAATAAACAGAACACAAGAATTAATGTGGTTCAGACACAATTGTGCCCTACATCCACGTGGACCTGCAAACACGATTTCACTAGTTCAGATTTACAATGTACATTAATAGGACTTATTAAAAACACTAAAGACTCCCTCTTTATGTAATATGCCGTTCTTGTACACAACTCGAACTTCGTGTTTCTTCCAACAGCAGCTCCACACCGCGTGCCTAGAACTCCTTTCTGGCCTGAACTCCCTTCAGTGACGCGGTTGATCTCCCAAGAGATCTATACAGCCAATCTGTATAAGTTGACACATCCAACGATGGCACAGTTCTGTTCAGCAGAACGTTTCAGCGATTCTTCAAAGCAACGGAGTGATTTTTCTCCCAAAAAAAGTGTCACGGTCTTTGTGAGGTGAGGAGCCTTATATAGGCGTGAGATGGGCCTCCAAAGACCTGTCTTCCAAAGGAATCGAATAACTAGGAAACAGAATCCTAGTCAATATCTAGTTCTAATCTAGATAGCCATAAAAGATTCCTAACAAGAATGAAGTACTAGGAAATAAATCTAAGTCCTAAAGTATTACAAAGGTAGGACTCTAAATTTCCAAAATAAACATGGGAACAAATCTTTAGCCAATCTTTACTTCCCAAGTGAGGCGGATTTCTTCCTTCGTGGAAATCTGGCGCCAACAATCTCCCCCTTTGGCATAGATTTGGTCAGAACCCATGTTTAACAAAAACTCCCCCTGCAGATAAGACGGAAAGAGAAAAGACTCCCCCTGCATCACAGACTGTTAGCACTCCCCCTGCATCACAGACTGTTAGCACATAACATCACATACTGTTAGCACAGTAGCAGTGCTACTTTAAGTATTTCCTGCAGTGAGACAAATAAAAGAGATATAGAATCACTCCAAAATTAACTCAAAAAGTAGTTATCAATGCAGATAAAGAGATAACATATAGAGTCAAAGATGCAAAAAGAAAATAATACTAGCTATTACAGACCAGAAGTAATAGCAGATAGTTTTTAAGAAAAAAAACATGAAAACGAAAAACATAAATCTCTGCTTTAGTAACTAAAGTCAGAGAACAAATCATCATCATCACGAGAGCTGGGCTGTGGAGGAGTGAGGAGGGATGCCTGCTTTTTGCCTTTATCTTTGGTCTTGGTGGAAGCCGCAGGAGTTGGAGTTGTTGCTACTCCCCCTTTCTGACCAGACTGTGCCAAAGTCCTAAGCAGCTGATCCTGAATAGAGGCAAACCCTTGAGCGAGCTGAGCCTGGATAGACTCCTGAAAACGAGTGAGCTCATCCTTGGTGACCACATCAACCGGCGGCGGAATAGAGGCAGAGACAATTGGAGCCTTCTTCGCACGAGGGACTGTCTGAACAACAGAAGGATCGACAGGAGGCAGATCAGCAAAATGTTCAGAGAGGACCTTACCGTGAATAGTAATTGGACGGCCAGGTGGGTCCAACAGGGTGGCATCACGAGTAGGCAGGCCTTGTTTGATCAGAAGCTGATAGATCAGAGAAGGAAATGGCAAATGCTCACGCTCAGTGCGGGAATTGGCTAACGCACCAATCTGATTGAAAATCAGTTCACCAATATTGATCTTGAGGTCGTGAGTGATGCACCATAAGAACTCAGCTTGGGTTGGATTGAGAGTAGCATTGTGAGTAGTGGGAAACCAATTTGAAATGCCTATCTTAAACAGGACCGAATAAAGCTGAGTCAGCTTAGAAACATGAAAAGAGGATTTCGGACCGGGCCATTTCTTTAACACTTTGCCAGTGAGAACAGAGGCCATAGAATCTTTTGAAACAGAGGGTTTGTGAGACACCTCGTTTGGACATTTATAAAACTCATTGATCAAGGCAGGAGTCACAGAAAAGAAGGAACCCCTCACATACACTTTCCCATACCCACGAGACCCCTCAACAGAAAAACGATCAGACAAATTTGCATAAAACTCAACAATGGCAGACCTTTCGAAAGGTTGTGCACTCACAATAGTGCCCAACAACCCTTGAGATTTAAGAAGACGGAAAATCCCAGACAAAGCTAACACAGCCCTAGACAAAACACGCTCAGGAGAGCACGCACGCTTACTCATACTATCCCAATTTTCTTTAGCAAGAGCGGAATAAAAGAGGTTTGAGAAGCAATTACCAGCAGAGAGTTGAGAGCCCACAGATGAATCAGAGGATTCAGAACGCAGAGGGTCATCCTCAGGAATAGGCTCAGAAGAAGAGGATTGTTGACCTTCAGACACGGAGGCAGGAGTGGAGACAGATGGGCCTTCGTGTTTTCGATTAGAGCGGCGGAGTTGAACAGGAAACTCAACATGGCGGGGGGTAACCTCTGGATCTGAGGGCAGATCATCTTGTGGGGTTGCAGAGAGGCTATCACCGTCAAGAGCAGTCACGCCGGTGTCAACATGGTCAGGCACATCACTAGTCTTGAGACTTGGTGAAGGGGAAGCCACTGGAGTAGAACGGGTCCAGATCTGTT